AAGAAACTTGAGAAAAATGTGGGCGTGCCTCGGTGTCCCTTTAGACCTTCTCTTCATTCGGCGTGGGTATTCGACATGGTGGCGTAGATGACGTTTTCCTTCCTTTTCTTGTTACCTTTACCTCAACTAACTCATTTTGAAGGCGGTTGACAAACTATTATGGATAGATGTTGTTTTGATCATAATTGGCATCTTCATTATTTGATTTGTGGTTTTAACCTGCATTCGTATTAGCGTCAAATGTCCTTTCGTTCGCCGACCTGCCAACAGCCTTCTTCGTTTGTTTTCCAGTTCTCCCCGTTTTACATTTCTACTTGTCAACTAACCCTCCCAGCTAATAAATATTTCTGAAGGTCCAGACTTTTCTACATTTCAAATTATGGCGCCGTTCCATCAGCTGCAATTGAGATTTCTCAGAAATGCGCGCGCTCTTTTCGATCGATTTGGTGTTAATGAGCTGCTGCAGAGATGTCGCTCCGGTTCTTTGGTGCACACATTTTATCATTTTAGGCTAGACCAATGTCATTATTTATCCTAACTCGCATTGTTTGGCGATTTTTTCGGTTGTGACATCCCAAACCATCTATTTAGATAAAAATTGCCTTTCCTGTACTGAAATTGGTTTCTTAGTTTTTGCTATATCCCGGTTCTATTTCCTTCACTCACCGTGTGCTCTTTAACAGAGGACCAGAAAATGGGCTTTGCCGAAGCATCTTTTGGTGCACCCAAAACTCCATAGCCGCGGGTTTTAACTGATATAATGGTGATTAAAAAACTTTACTATGCCAGGTCCTTTCAAATTACTGAACGCTTTATCGCTTAAATGATATCCCAAATGAATTGTTTGTTGGTGAACGTAAAGCTTGTCGTTCCGAGTGGTCCAGGACTTCTAGTTGGCTTCTATGTATCAAAATGACTTTCACGTGCAAGGCTCATGCTTATGCACATAATGGGGCACCTACATAAACATTATCTTCCCACTCAACAAGAAAATGGCTCAACGGATTCTGCATCTTTGGGGTACGGACGCTTGTTGCATTTTTATGCTACTACAGGAACGTCTTTCCCATAACATCCACCTGCTTACGCTGTGTGGTAGTGGGGTTTTTATTTTGGTCTAACCGATATTTCTCCTCTTGTGTGAAGGGAAAGGAAAGGAGACCGAGCCCCTAGTTGAAATCTGTGTGATCAAAGTGAATGCAGCCAAAGGGCCTAATTAGAAAAAGGAGTGTGCTTAATTATACCGAGGAAAGCATTTGTTGAGAGATGTGCAGAACGATGACTTCTTTGGTCCCAACTTGGGACTATTTCTTTTTGTTATGCTCTATCATTCCGAATCACGCAGCGCGTATCTTGTGTAGTCGTGTGGGCAAGGCGCATTTCGCAACATATCTACATTTTTAATATGCTTGCTTATGCTTAACATTTTGGTGGATGCTTTCTTAGCTTGGTGCGTGCCACGAAAATCATTAATGCCTATTACAGGAGTTAGATTCTAGCAAATGAGCGGGGCCAAATGATACTTCTTAGTTGTGTTATGCTTACACTTAACGGGTCCCTTATGAAGCAAATGTATAACGATTGCTCTCTGGCTTCTCTTACAGTGGTGATCGGGAGGGATGCAACTTGAAAATCACGTAGTTTCAGTAAAAATCGACTAAACTCACTCCGTTAGTTTACATTGTGTTTGAACACTTGGTCAAATCATTCTGCTTGCCATTATACTGGTGCCGTAGTGTAGTTATTACAATTAATCAAGCTAACATTGTTTTTGCGTCATAGCTCCTGCCTTTTTTCTCGTGATTTTCTTCCGCTTCTTAGCACCCGACATTGAGACCATAGAATACACATATTTCGCTGCCACATATTTTAATGCTTTTTGACACTTTTGAATTCGTGATCTACGTATAGTGTATTTTGTAACTCGTTTCAAAAAAGGTAGCATTGTCGTCGAATTGCCACCAGCATTTCACGTAGGTTCCACGCATTGTTGTGCCTGCCAATCCCGCCTTGCCTCGTTGTTTTCCTCGAACGCGCCTTTCGGCGGTCCGTCTGTTGTGTGCGTGCACGCGCGTGCGTGCGTGCGCACCGCGGGCGGGACGCGTTTGATTTTTCCCGTCAGTGCTTCGTCGCCCCGCCCACCGGGAGACACGTCCTGTTTCTTTCTTGCTCTCCTATTATGTTGACTTGGTCTCTCAAGCAAAACAAAAACCTAGCTTTTTCACGTGATCTGACTAACGGGGGTGCCGATAATTAAGCGGTACTAATCGGCTATCCGGCCTCAAGTATTATTTCTGGAACGCGGATCAAGTCTATCACATTGTCCTTCCTCTAGCAGCCCCCAAATTCTTTTGCATAAATGCGGTTTGTTTCTTGCGAAACCCCATGATTAAGCAGTTCCGTTCAGAAAACCGCTTAAGACTGTCCAGAGTTGTGTTTGAGTGCAGGTGTGCGTGGGTGTTTAATTTGGCCGAAAGTCCTTTCTGTACTTCTTTAGACCGTCTTGGCACCCCCACACTTTGAAAGGAAAAGCTTCGTGTGTTTGGAAATGGTAATGCACTGGTGTTTTGGTTACCAATTAGAGAACGCACAAATGGTGAACAAGTTATTATTCTGACGTTCTAGGCTTTTTACTTAAATCATCCACCACATTTCAGTGTATTAAAAGTACAAGTTGAGTTTCTGCAGGAAACAGCTACAGAGAGTTTTATTTGGCTCTCGCTATTTTGTGAACAAGCCACTTCTGGGCCTAACTTACAAGCAAACGGAAACAGTCAGTGGTATGAGATAAAATCGCCCGAGATAACTTAAAGGACGTAACATTAGTTATCAAAACTGGAAGCCGTCTCCTGAATAAGGTTGGAGAATCACCGTTGTGTGGATCGAGTTCCCTTTGAAAAGCAGACCCTTATCACTGATCTTATTGCGCACTCACTTTATGGTCAGAATATGGAACAGCCTGTTGTGACCAATTTCGCCCCAAACAAGCTACACCCACCGGTCTCCCTTCGGCTTCATTACCTGTCTGGGAACAACATGTGTGTGTGTAAGTAAGTCGATGAAGATGACGCTTCAGTCACTACCTGCGTGTATATCCAGAGTAAATCTTACTTTTTCATCTTCTCGCCTCATCTCAACAATCGGTTAACTAGCCCACGGCCACTTTATTATTACAGACTTCTTTCGCGTCGCAAGCATCTTGTCAAATGTCTGCCCTGCAGCCGAGGAGTTTTATTGGCCAGTTATGTGTTCATGAATTTGTCTGGGTTGCTTCCTGTTTATTTAACCTTGTCATATCAATTTCGTATTTATTTTCTATTGTGTAATTTCACTCTGTTACCTTACGGCGGCGGTTACGCTACTTTTTTCCCAGCCTCGCAATGCTCTTAAATTCTTGTCTTTCATGAACTTTTAAATGTTTCTTTACCATTTATGGTATGCTATCGCAGATACAAGTACTTTTGACTTGTTGCCCCTTTTTTGTTTATACCGACCTAAAAATGTAAACGGTTGGCTTTATTACGATGTCTGTGAGTCACTCTCTAAGACTATTACATGTTAAACAAAGCAAGCATAGGAATTAGCTTGAAAATAATATTCCATTGAAGGCTTTGCAATATTACTGCATTCGTAGCCAGTGATGTCTGATGTCAATCTGTTGGCGTTACACTATGACGAAGTCCTCACTTAACCTTGATTCTCTTTTCGTGGATTCTTTCATTCATGTTGTGGTGGTGCTCACGCCTGAGGCGCTGCCTGTTGGCGACACGCACTCGCGACTTGGCGTCCATCGCTACTTTTATGCCATCTTTTCGGCTCACGAGAATGCATGTCGGTTCCTGCCCACTCTTAGTTCGATCAAACGGCGATATGCTTCGAGCAGTGTGGGATCACTGATCCTGTGTAAAAAGGAATTTTTTGTTTATTTTCCGTAGAAATTACCCTTAGGTGAGCTTAAATATCCCACCTGAATTGGATTTTTTCTATATAAACTTTGAGTTGCTGATTTATTGTGAAATGTTGGGCAGTAACTTTCCTATCGAGTCTTATGCCGAATTATGCGTATTCCCACCGCACCCAAACACGTTTCAGACCTGAGTTAAAGTCCTGTCTCATTATTTCGTAATCCGAAATGCAATGCCATCTCTCTTAGTTGAATGGCATTCTTTCCGAGCCATGCTAGATGGTGAGTGCGTGACCCCAGTTCTTCATCACCTCTACCAATCAAAAGTCTTGCCTGTTCATTGGGTCCAGCACCTTCGTTACTGACTCTCATCGAATTAAGTAACCTCCAAATTCAACAATGTCACTACGAAAATGTCAAATTCTCCAGGCATGAATCAGTAAAATTACAGATCAGTGAATAATGTTTGTTTCTTCGTATCGTATATGACATTGCAGACTGCCCTTTGACATCCCTTGTCGAAATTTTGTTAGAAACATTCACGATCTGAGTCGCTGGAAGGCCACCTTGACGGGAACCCAAACAGTTGTAGCGACTGACTACGAATTCGAAAGTACTTCCTCACCAAACTTACACTCAGCGTGCTCCCTAGAATGTTTTTAGGCGTTTTTCAGTTGCTCTAAATTTGTGCAAATAATTAGGCAAATTGTCAGAACAGGTTCTTTTCTTGTAACAGATTCCGCATTTTCAGTGGGATTCCAGATACACTCACCATAACTTCCTAGATAAAAATATGGATAAAGAAGTAGCTGACTTCTTATAGGCCGCTATTCACCTTGCCAAATCACCTTCTAGGGTTCTTCTAGTCAAAGTCGAGTCTTTTCACGCTGAGCATCATCCTAGGTTCTGATGGCAAAACTCACCGTATTGGTGAACCGAAAGCAGTTGTGTTTCTGCGAAATTCAGCTAAGATGGTCCACTTCGAACCTTCAATCGGCTTTTTGGCTGAAATAACATCCTATTCACCGTCGAAATTGCACTTGCCTTGTCCTATCCTGCATCAATAGGCTCCGGCGTTCACGTTAATTCTTTTTCCTCTTTTCGACTTCAAAAGAGCATGTCGGCAAGCCCAAACACACAGACGCACGAACCAGACAGTGTGTGTGCGTGTGTATCTGCCTGTCTGTCTGTGGGGCGTATTGCTAAACGCATGGAGGAGGACTTTTCCCTAGACAGAAAAATACACACACACAGAACTAGAAATTACAGAAGCGGCTAGACCTCCTAACCAATTCGTAATTATCGCCACAACTTAATCTCCAGACGCACAAGTTATATTACTGCGTAGTCTGTCCGCTTGCCTGCCTGTGAGATGTTTATGTGGTCGTACAGCACAAACCGCTGTATTCAAGACCTTTTTTAGTCTGATCTCGTGTTGTCTGGTTAAGCTCTCCAGCATGTTGAATAAGTCTATAATTGGTAAACTGCAATGGCTACTCCAACGGATCTGGACAATCAACCAAGCGGATGTCCTCATCACTAGTTAATGCTAATCTGTGAGATCCATCAAGTTGTTTGAAAGGGCGTTCAAACTTCCATCTGCCGTGCTAAATAAATGTACACTCGAACGGGTCTCCTATGCTACTAGTTGATGACCATGGTACACAAGCGTAAACTGTGCTCGAAGAAGCCTCCAACTCAATAAAAAAGTGGTTTCTGTTCTCAGAAAACATTCATTACGTCAAGTCTAGGAGTATTATAATTTGACTGGTATTCTAAACTACAGGAAACAGATGCCTATTATATAACTTTTAATGAAATAAAGCGAATTAGTACTATCCGGACCCGACATCTTTTTTTATGTAGAGCCAAATCTGACCCACAACCAGTTACCCAACGTCCTTCTCCTGCCACAATGGAAGAAGCTGTACGGTGTATGGTTAATGACATGTCTGGTACACCTTCAAAGACCAGTAACACCCACCAGCATCACTACCACCCAAATCATCAGCAAGGCCGCCAGCCGTCATCCCATATACCCCCGCCTTCTCACCCCCCGCCCCCTCTCTCGGAGGACTTCCCCACAAACACTTTCAACGCTGCCCGGGCCGCTGCCGCTGCTGTTTCGGCTGCACTCGGGTTCCACTTTCCCCCACCAGACATGTTTAACCTCAATCCTCCACCTCAGCCTCCTCCGCCTCCAAAGAACAACGGCATCTCTAGCAGCCCCGATGTCCAGACCGTGAAAGGCAATTCCGAGGATTACGCCACCCGACCCTATCGGTGCAACACCTGTGGGCGCGGATTCGCGGTGAAGGCGGGCCTCATGCAGCACCTACGCACCCACACCGACGAGCGTCCCTACCCCTGTCCCGAATGTGGTCGCGCCTTCAAACAAAAAATTCAATTAACTACTCACATGCGTGTGCATTCAGGCGAGCGACCCTATGGTTGCCGAATCTGCGGTAAGCTCTTTCGCCAACAGAGCCATGTAGTGCAACACCTGAGGACCCACACTGGCGAGAAACCGCACAAGTGCACCAGATGCAACAAAGCTTTCCGGCAGAAATACAGCCTCATCTCACACCAAAGACGCATGTGTCAGAGCAGGTCGAGCTCAAGCTCTGCTCTGATGGCAGGGATGACCATGTGGATAGGGCCAGGGGGGCGAGCAGCGGAGAAGGCCGCAGCAGCAGCAGCCGTTGCGCAAAACAGACTCCGCGGCTCACATTCTCCAACTCTTCCCCTTCTCCCCCATTCTATCAATAGTGCTGCTTCTCCCCTACAACTCTCGTTCCCTCCGCCACCACTGACATCTACAGAGACAAACGCTTCACCTAGTGCACCTCCCAGAACCGATGACCGGTCCTCCTGCAGTCCAAGTAGTTCGCATGGTGGCGGCAGCATAAATTCGTTCCGCCAACCCTCTCCTCACTCCAAGAACTCCCCTTCGAATGGATTCAATTCAGCAGCCTCCTCCGCTGGACGATCCTTTCATGAAAATGATTACAGTATGGCAACTTCGTCATCCTCCTATCCTTCACCCTATCATTCGGAAGCAACTGACCTTCGACTGAACAGCGGTGGTGGCTTCCAGTCGAGAATCGAGGAGTCCTCGGCCGCGGCAGTGGAAACTGCGGGTGTCTAATGAATGCGTGTGTTTTGTCATGGCGAGAAGTGACTTTTAAGCGCCAGACCAGATAAACAGGTTTTATTGTGTTTCATGCGTATCTCGTTTATTTCTGCATTTCTTCATTTCCCTCACCTCCATCCACCGTCCCTCCTCCAAATTTTTTGTCCGCTTCAGTTTTGCCGTTTCTTTATGATGGGGTGCCGAGGATAATTTGTGTACTTATATATCAATTACAGTTGCATCGGTCTCCATACACACCTACCCTCTTTGAAGCATAACAAAAATCAATATTTTTACGTGCTAGCACCTTGTTTTGCATTTTTAGGTACTAATGAATGAAAATAAATACCGGGGCCACGCAATGCTAAACGATTTCAGGTCCGCCACTAGCGCTTCCATGATTTCGGTTCATGGCTCCAAGTGCCTCACCACTCACTTTTTAGAATGTGGAAATGTTTTTTGCCGCACGACAGTGTACACGTACTTTTTGCACAAGTCCATTATAATTCCATGGTCTTTGTGCTCTTGCTCATTAAGTAGGCCTTGCAGCCCCAACCCAAAAAAATTCAAGATAACGTGTTTTGTGAATGCCCGTAGATGGCACGGATTCGGTTCCACAAGCCTGGTGAAAGTCCACTTGTCTATGACATTCATGGCAGGTCTTTTTAAAGTGTCCTTCTTAATTTTGGAGCCCAAACTCACGTCTGGTTATCGTGTGTGAAGTCGAAAAAACCTTGGTCCAGTGTCACCCACAAGAACCTCAACCCCCACTTCGTTGAACGTCCTGTGCTTAAGTGCTGTTTTCCACTGCAAAGACATCCAGTATTTTGCATAGGATGGCCCGTCCGCTGGATTTCATGTGCCAATGTCACAATGAGCATGCCGAGCACTAAAAAACTGACACATCACGCCGGAAAAACTGCATTCCTATCTTTGGCATGTACGTCAATCCGCCAACTTGTAGGACACGCCTAGGATACCATCTTAAGTTGTTTATGCACATGGAACCATGTCTAAGGAGAGTAAGCTACCGAGTCGTTCCAGGAGCTTACGTACTTCACTTGCATATTCAGAGTAATACTCAGCCATGGCAGAAAAGCGTCTTTGTCCTTGTGCACACATGTAATGCGAAAGGAAGTGATAGTTTGTTCTGTTCAAATTTGCCGCTAGCATACGACATGCAAAAATAATTGTAGTGATTTTATGGCCCGCCATCTCCTTCATACATGAGTATGCGGCCATGTGCCAATCACACGGAGTAAGGAGAAGTAAGCAAAGCAGTACTTACTTTAGCGTTTGCTTTGATTGAGAGTTTATTAAGGCAATCGTACGCATGCGCCACCTCTTTTGTAGCCACTGTCGAGGCAGAGAAGGGAGGGAAGAATGATTAAGACGCGGAGGAGGATAGAAGCTTAGGGGGAAGAGAGGAGAGGGATTTGATGTTGTGTAAAATGTGTTCTTGAGAAGCTGCTCCTCTGGAACTTTTGTGTGCTCCTGAAACAGCGGTTTCAATATGAAATACCATTGCAACAAGTCGAAAATACAGCGCATCGGTACTTGATTGAACCCCCAAGACAGTCACTTTCGGCAACATATACAAAGCACTTGAGCACCTAACTTCTAAACTGGTCTTGCCCACTCGCTAGTCAAACCATCGGTGCTGCGACTGAAATAACTAAGCGGCTTCCTAAACTTTCTGCTTGCCTAGCGTCCAGCGTATTTTTAAAAACTTTATTTCCAAAGGATACAAATAAGCGCTTTTAGAGGTTTTCTTTCACCTAGTTAAAAGACCGGAAGTTGATTTTTTTGCCATTGTATTATGATCATCTGAGGTGTATCCAATATAAGTACTAGCTTCAAGCAAGGCATAATCGCCATTGAAATCAGTTCATCACTAGGTTTTAACGTTATTTATCTCTTAGAATGAATAAAAGAATTTTTAACAAATAAACAAGATGGCTGATGCCATGGCAGCATGCCTCATTTATGTGTTGAAGGCATTGAACATTTAACTTCATGTCTCAATTGCATTTGTTTAGCAAGTATACAGACCCAAGTTCTTACCTGCTATTCTTTATCTTGTCTTCATGATTGAGCGAAATCAATGCTGTTGTTTCCACAAAGCATTAACCTAGCTTCCATGGACCTCAGCCAAATGAATTACCCGTTGTTGACTTTAAGGTTACGGTTTTATTAAGATCGCATTTTTCTTAAACACTGCAATTAACATTCGAAAAGGACATAAACATAATTGGTGCATGTTTGTATCTGCAAGGTACAGAGCTTTTTCAAATTAAGAAATTCACCAATTCAACTCAATCTTTTTGAGAGTTCAGCTTTGAGTGTTAAGTTCGCCACTGACTAAATCAGAACTAGGGAACGAGATAGCTAACTTTGAAGTGGCCGTAAGATTCTTCACCACATGCAATTTAGATGAATTGGGCTCATGGAAACGACAAGGAAATTATGTTCTGTTGTTAAGTATAACTTTTAACTCTTATATTATCCTATATTAAAATGCAATTTTGTAATACGGAATCCGGATGTTAAATTAAGTCCGAATGTAAATTTCAACTCTGTTTCCTTTGGTATAGATTCGGGTATTTCTACAAATTCCAGCATCCATGAAAACGTTTACTTAAATGGAAGAAGACAGAGATTTTGTGCTGCACGTAGCGAGTAGACATTACCTTCTCTCTTTCTATGTTAAATCAAGATCCTCTGGTTCAGGAATATAAGTATGATAAACGAGAACCAACTCACTCCTTTCTTTGACCAGTGACTCTAATCTAGTGAAGCTTTAAACCTATTTACCTAGAAAGCGGGGCTGCAACTCTCACCCACATTAAGCATCGTCACGTACGGCCTACAACTAAACCATTTTTTCCACTTTCTATAGTTATTTTTTTCAAAAAGAATATCAAATTACAAATTACTGTTATCGGTTGCATTTGTATATAAAGATTTAATTGTTAATCACAGCACAAATGGTCAGTTGGAGTCCCTTGTTCTGAGAAGACTTACCCGATGATTTAGTGACTCCTCGGAGGGGTAGGCAGTTTATTGATGTCGAATTTCTCACTTACCGCTATTAGCGCCCATGCCAAAACCAATCGCCATTTGCCTACAGTAAGCATTTCCCCTCTCTATTCATGATAAAAGCGTCATTCAGTATCGAAGTTATCCAACTGTTGACGTTTTCTAAGGCTGCTATAATATATCCCCTTCCGGGACCCGACTTTTTGGAAAAAATAGTTCTTGCCCTCCCTGAATATTAATTTAAATTACCAGTTGCAAGGATGCTTTTTTTAACCAAGACCCAGGTTTCATGTCTAAGGTTTATCAGTAAGTTACTGCATCATTAAAAGGCCCTACCCATGTCAACTTCTCCAAATTTATTTGCAGAGTTTTGTATCCGTTAACAGCCAACCTTCCAGTGTGAGGGCGCATTACACAACGCCGTTATGAGGCGTATTTGAGGTGCGTGCGTGCCATCGTCTGTATGTTTGATGGGGTCGCACCTAGGTGGCTCGATTGAGTGTCTATTGAGGAGATTCCAAGGTGATGGGAAATCGAATTTATGATTGGTTAGGCGACTTTCGGGTTCACCCTTCTACCACGGGTCAGGTGGCCATACCAAATGTTCGTTGCGGTGTCGGCACCGCTCGCTGCTGCGGAAATAGAGTTTTACTAATTGGCTCACTTTAAACAAGTTTCCTCATGTCGGTCTTTGTTCCAGTGTCATGATAAAACAACAAAATAAAGAATATTTTCCCGCAAGTTCATTTTCTCTGCCTAGTCTCACGTGTTTTAAATTAAAAAAAGATTCAGTCGATTAGCTTGGGTAATGCGTAATAAGGGGTGTTGCAATTTAACAGTCACATAGACATTCCACTACGAGCCCGTTTGATCCTTAATAATCTTCCGCAAGTCCAGCAGGTGTTACGTCCAGAGGGAATTATGTGACATTGCCCCTCGAAGTAAGAATTCTCACACTTGGCGCCATAATAACCGGGTGGGTAACCTGGGAAATCAAAGAAGGATAGTCAGCGAAACAAACTATTGTGTGAAGGAAACCAAACTATTATGACTATCAGGAAAGTGGCAGTGAAGTGGCCTTCGGCACTAGTCTCGGTAATGTTAACCAAAATCTACTAAAGTCTTTTGACATATACGCACATTTGTTTAAGTGAAAGAAATGCATTTTCTACAAAATGTTAGTTTAAATTTGAATCAACACATAATTTCATTCACGATCAATATTAAGTGGCTATAGTAAGACCTTTTTAAGCACAAGTGATTTGAATGATACGGAATACATTAGATATGGCTGTTTTACTTGTATTTTCCAAAGGGACTCACCGATTAGGCCTCTCGGATCGACTAGACACCTTACAATAAGGAAAATCCTATTGACTAAATCAAAGCCAACGCCATTTCCCTGATCAGGATAAAAGGAAGTGAATATTTGGCTAAATATGCGTTTTATTTCTTTGAGTGTCCACGACCAGACAAACAACCCCGTCGGTGAATTTGTCAAGCGAATATCTCAATAACAGAATTTGTACCCACAAACGACGTAAATTGATGCACCACATGAGCTTACATTTGGGGCAGCATGACTACCTTCTACGACTATTTCGCACGTAGAGGCGTGACATGCACAGATACGACATGGCACCGCTTACTGTAGACCAGATTTAACTCATAACGGTTAAGGTGTGATCATCAATACGGATGAAAGGGACTTAAATAATTAACTGATATTTGACCATTCGTAGAGCTTCTGCATGGTTTCTCCAGTTTTGTGACCACAGATTTCCTCGTCGGGCAAACATTTGCTGTCTCTCGTTTGTAAGTGACTGTCTTTACGTCACAGTAAATTGAAGTCTCTTAAATGCTTGACCACTTATTATTAGTCTTTCAAACGCGAATAAATAGATTACAAAATGCCCTGATATGCACATTATAAATGGTTTGTGTTCGGGTGCAAATAAAATGAAATATTCCTCTTAAGGACACAACATATTGTAATTCGTCGTCTGATGCTCATTTTCAGAGTCATTAAACCTGTTATACGGATTAGGTTTCGTCAAAAGCATATTCTTAAGGTAATATTTAATTCAGCAAAATCGAAACCTTACTCCCCGAATGCCTATTTTGCTTCCCAAACCTACACATTTTCTGAACGTAGTTATACACTTGAACAGTGTTTTTAACCTGACACCATTGACTTTACCTGAGATTTTAGCGATCAATTTCTAGGACAACAATTAATAAATTAACTCCAGTTATGAGAATATTGATCAAAAAACTATTCCTTGGGATTCTGCGGACCTCAATAACACATACATGCTCCTTAAAATTACTAATATTAACATAACAAGCTATTGCACATAAACAGCTTTTAATTGTCGTCGAATTTCCTTTACTTTTTCTTTTTGTTTTCTCGTCATAATTTGTTCGACTTCAAATCTACTTGGTAAATCTGACTACTGCCTTTATTCGCTCACACGATGGTCTAGTGCCTCACACCCGTCATATGACACCTGAATTTTCATCTGCGAAGTCTCAACAGAGCTTGATGGAAGTGTTATTTGTGCCGGTGTTCAACTTGTTCGACTTGGCATTTACATTTATGTACTAACTAGTGAATTGTTTTCAGTTCACTAATGTATAGACTTCGGTGTGGTGAAGCAACACGAAATGAACAGTAAGAAGTCGAGAAAATTGTACATGGAAAAAACACAGCAACCTTTCTTATTATATAAAAATATATAGTGGAAGAAAAATTATACAGATTCCAGGCATAATGTATTGAGTAAAAATCGTCACTTTGACAGTAAAAGCAGCCTCGATAAGCCTACTAACTTATGCTAGCAACTGGCTCCAGACCAAAAATTTAAACATACTTTTGCAACATATAAATTTGGAAAATGAAAACTTCAATTTCACGTTTTTCGAAGTAGTCATCCAAGGCTCCAATACACCCGACTGCATTCATACTTCTTATTATAGCACTCAAAAAGTAAATGCTCCCATGTTGCAAGCCGTGGTTGTTTGATTTTCTGCGTTTGAAAATAAATATCAAACGTGTTGTCAAACCACAATGAAGGCAGTGACGAAATCACTTAGGATAACCACAAAGAATGACCACCGAACTCGGCAAATGAAAACGCGAGCTCATGAGTGCAGTCAGCGAGTTTCTATCTAGGTAGTGGCCAGAAATTCGGACATCTCCTGGTGATCGTTGCAGACGATTTTGGTCAGCTGCTTGACACTTCTCAGGCTTTGAGCATTGTGGGCGTTTAGAGCGACGCGCCTTCCAGAGCGCATGATTCAAGGAACTGAGGCTGGTGTTGTGATGTTCAACAAGACTCAGGCACATGCAGAAAAGCCTGTTAATGCCAAGGGAGAAATGATCGACCAGCAAGGTCCAGCGTCCAAAATGAAATTAACGCAAAAATTTCCGAAATGGTGGCCAACGGAGGGTGGACATCGGTGGGGTTTTAAAGGCTAAAGTCGAATAAGTTGTTCTTTGACATTGTTGTGGGCCCCGGCATGTGGTCTTGAACCACGCCGGGGCCGCGGAATTGGCCCTGGCCCGATTACGCTTGCCTGATACCCGCGATGAAGGAAAAGGGCCGGAGAGGACGGACACAAGCGTTTATTTCAGAGGTCAACCACGTTGGTGTCGTTGTGTCGTGTGTGGTGTTTGCTCGTGTGTATTTATAACTTGAATGTGTGAGTCATACATGCGCTAACATCGAGACCTAGGTGTGGGGATGCTCCAAGATAAATATTTGTGCTAATGAAGGGGGAGTTGAGGAATCGAGCGGCTGGCGACATGCTGCGACAAGGGGAACTCTGTGTAGGAGGTGGAGCGACCGGATTAAGGAGTGTGAATAAACACGACTCACAACAACATCTTTAGAACGAAATGGTTATTTTGGCTTTGTCAGTGTCGTGACTCATAAGTTTACATGTAGTTTAAAATGATTTGTGGGCCACTTAGTCTGAAGTACACAACAATACGAACGACAACATAAGGCCTCCGGGATATGCCGCCTTACGACATGGTTTCGTGAATAAAATATTTTGTCTACGGGAAATCGAAAATATTTCTCCCACATTTTTATAAAAATATTAAGCGTGCGCAAGCTTTTTCTTCCCTCCCGCTCCACCACTTGCTCTTCCCGCTGATCATGGCGAGGCTGGTAAAAGTCTGATCAAACGACTTGAACGTTTTCTTTTCCATCGCACTCACACATACACGCACACCAAAAAATCAACGAAACACAGAAAAGTGGAAAAACGAGACCCCTGCGCAGGCAATTTTTCTAAAGTCAAGTGCGTGCGTGTGTGATATTCTGTTCTTTCACGGTAGGGGATCCTTCTCTTAACCCACAACACACACAGACACTCGTGAAAGTGGAGGTGGTGAGCTTTAAAAAGCTGGACACGCTTAACGTGCTCGCGCGCACACAAGCCAAAGAAAACAAAGTGATGGGCGAAAAAGCTTTTAGATAAGAGGCGCGCGCGACGTTTAAAGAAACGACATTGGGGTACATAAAAGACCACTGCGATAAGTCTGCGGCTTGTGCAAAAACATTTGAGGAGTGAATTTGGCCTCTTCAAACTGCCAGAACGCTTAGTGCGGGTGTACGGCTGTGGGTGTAACAAAACGTTCAAGTCGCTTGGCCGGAGTCAAAAGTGGTCCCGCAGATGGAGGTAGTCGTGCCGAGATCAGCTCAATTCAATGTAACTATGACTAAAAGGTAGCTTTTCATTCAATGAACTGGCATATCGACAATGCAAATGCATACAGCAATATGCTCTCCCCGATCAATACTATGAGGTTAGCGTCGGTGGACTGAGGTAAAACACCCATGCAAATGTTGCCCGCCACCTGTTCTACATTAGGATGTCCTTCGTAAATAGCAATCATGTTTATTTAGGTGGGACTTACGTATGTGTCATGGAAGGTTTCTTAGAATTTACGTCGACAAGCCAGTGCTCGTGGTTGTGCAGTTCACCGTCGCCTTCCTAAATACATCCTTGTGTAATTTGTCCACAATACAAAATTTGGATATATAAACGAGGAATTGAGATTGGTCTTCGGTTGCTAAAGCCCAAGTTATTGTCGATAACTATGAAAAAAATCAAGGAAAGGATACCAATTTGAAAACATGTAATCAAACAAACAACCATCGATCCTCTCCGTATATGTCGTTTCGAAAGGTGTGAGAAATCAGGCATTGATTAGTCGACGAAACCCTTGCTGGCCTTAGACACAGATCCGGGTCCAGCGTTAAATCACAGAAATAAACGTCTACTTGTACCTTTAGCCATGAATGTCCAAATCTATAACATATTCGTGGAATCAATTTGTTAAAGCGTGCTGATCAATGCATTTTAAAAGTACACAAGTGAAGTGAACCAAATTAGTTAAAGTACAAATTCCAAGTCTGCACACAGACGACATAGATATGCAGATGATGATGAAAAGGGCCCAGTCGGTTGGGTAGAGGTACAAAAAAACTTAAAGAGGGAAAGAGTGAGAGAGAGGTAGTGCAGCAAGCGAGAGATGCGACACTCACGACGCGCAGACAGCGTAGCGAAACGAGAGACGACTGCGTGCGCGCGACATACCATGGCGTGCACGGGTGGCGCGTGCATGGGAGCTTATACGGGGGTCCACGTCGGGAAGGGAGGGAGGGAGGGAAGGAGCGAGGAGGAGGAGATTTGCCTTTTTCTTACATATACACCCATCGCGAGCCAGCGAGGGGGCATGAGATATGAGATCTCTCCGTCTCTTTTGGGTCCCTTTTTCTCCGTGATGCGGTACTTTCATCAGCTTTGAAAAATAAAAATAGGAAGGTTAAAACATTGCCTGTCGGTTTAGCAGAAAGTTTCGTTGAGATTAAAATATGTGATATTTGCTAAACCTTTCGTTTTAAAATAACTAATAGACGGTAAATTAGTTGTTTAAGCTCTTAACCCAGACAACGCTTCCAGGTACGTACACGTTGAGGGGAATGTTGAAGTCGTTCTTTTAGTGACAAATAAATACTTAGAATCTGTGCGTCTTCAACCCGTTCAGCCTACTCACAAGTCATTTCCATGCCAACATGTAAAGTTAAAAACGCCTTTTGCCATGGTACTGCAACGGGAACGCGGATGGACTAAATGGAAGTTAACAGATTGATTTTGGATTGGATGAGTGGATTTTTCGAATCCCGATACACCCTTTTATTAATGGAATTTTCGATTTCCGTGGTCACTTCGTTCCTGTTAGGTGGTGAAAAACGTGAAGTAAGTAAAGTTTGCCTGTCACGGTCAGGAGCTCTATGATAAAATTGTGCGAAATCCCACAAGGCTAGTAGTCCACTTTAACAATGCGAGAGGCACATGGGCACCTCATAAGAAGACTAACACATCTTCTGAAAGTCACCTTTTATAGAATGACACAGAAACGACTTTGAGAGAGGTGGCGGTTCTACACACGACTGAGCGTGTACCAGTAAACGTTGCTTGGGGCTGGCATTGTGCTTTCGTCAATGAATTTCAGGTAACGTTACTCGCGGATGCCCCGTGATTAACGATATAACGGTATTTAGCAACGCTTAAAGTCAGCATTCGGACTTGTTATGTATGTTGTCGATGATTTTCTTAGTGAATAGTAAAACCATGGTCTCGTGCCTTGACGATGAAACCTCACTTTACTCGACTACTATCTTCTTCACCCTTTTGCCATTTTGGTGGATAGTGCCAAAACATTTACCAGCTGATGCTGGGTAGGCAAACATTAAGTGTGTCAGTAAAAAACATATCTACAGAATCGCCCAGATAAAAAGCAATTCAATCTACATGGCCGATGTAGGGGATCCACCCATCTGTTATGCAAAACGGCGCAGTGTAGCATTTGAGTTCGAACATAAAACAAAGACAAAACCGCATGTGTAGGAATGTAAATGAGAGGATGGATGGATTGCGGAATATTAAGGTGCATTCGAATTGTTTGATGTGGGAGGCTGGCGCATTTCATTGATTTTAGGTCTGGAGATTGTCGTCGAGGGTGGTCCACACACAACAGACAACCTTGGTCGAAAGTGCGCCAAGAGGCCATCAACCTGAAACCACTTTCTTTTACTGCGTCTTTGATGATGGGTGAAGGTAGTAGACAATCAGAAGTCGGCAATGTAATTGACATCTTGCATTGTGTGCATATTTGGATGACGATACGTAGCCAAATTTAAGAAAATGTTCTGGTGACGCACGCTTTCGAAAATCAGCGAGGCAGTAACAAGTGGGTGGCGAGGAAGTAATTTTGATTCTCACAAATAGATTGCAGTCAGTTTATATTAAAGGAATGCTGTCAATGTCATGACTTGCTTTTGACACATGATAGATACCAATTATAGTTCACCAGAAAGGCAAATTACGCGTAATTTTACTAGGAACTTGTTTGTTAAGAATCAACTTTAACAGGAAGTGCAAGGGCGAACATTTTTTACATGTCTCAATCTTCTTTCCGCAAAGTCAAAAAGCAGCTGGGGCCCACAAAGAAGGTAAAAGTTTCGCAGTGCTGATTACTCCATCGACAGCACGTGTTGGATTTGAATATATTGGCTGTGGAAAATTTTCACCCTACGTTGACAATATTCCGGGCGACATGCTGCAGTTGATGATGAATAAATTTTTAAATGCAGCGATGTCGTCCCCAAGTTAACTTAAACCATCACCTGTGATCAAGGGTGGATCGTCTGCTATGACGTCAATGGACAACCACCATGGTCTGTGATGAACTAGAACAAAACATCACAGCACATCGGGGCATTCAACAAGGATACCGCAGGAGCTTTTCCTTCAACAGAAAAGGCTGTGTGCATGGTGAGATCGTGAAGATATCATTCCCTGTGACCTTCTTGCGAGTAACGAAACGGTGTAGACCTCCACTTTCAACAAATACATCGAATTAATAACAAAAATTCTGAAAAATTTGCCTTGCCAAAGCTATAGTTTCGTTTTGCGAGACCAAAAATGGATCAAAACTACGTGAATGCAACTTTCGTGTCATCAGTCGCGTCTGTTCCGTAAATTTACAGCCCTGTTGTTAAACTGCTCTTTTTTTGTCTCGTGACTTAGCGTCACAATTCACATCACTGGAGCACAACCCAGGCAGCTATCAAGTCACGCCCTAAAGTCTTTACCAAAGGTGTCAAGAACCTCTCTCATAAAATGTGTACAACCATTTATTACTGACAAGTTGGTATTCCAAGTTCACAATATTTCAATCGGTATTTATGCAACAGATGATGCAGATGGGTGATGGATCATGGCATATGCGTGTACATTTAAATAGTTCTAGTCCTACTGTAGCGACCAGCAGGGGGGCACAGTTAGCATTCGTGGGCTAACGCAGTTTGCAGCAGCAAGCGAACACAAATCAATCGATTTTCATGAGTGCACTTCACGCGACTGCTCGTTCAGGAATCGATGCTTAGCAGAGCTATATAAACCCACTCGTTATCATGTACGCACACACCGCTGCATCAATAAATTGGTTGAGCTACGCGCCATCTGCATTTTCTACTCTTCTTTCGGTCGGGCACTTGTGTGGTGTGGTTTCTAAAACCGCACCGGGGCCCGCTACACTACTAATGTAGCCATGTCGGTTTGAGTCCCCCGATTATTTCAAAAGACGGTCAATTGGGTTTGAAAACTCATACCCTCTTAACGGAAAGATTATGCAATATTTCGAGGAACTTGTGTGGGTGCATAAAAGCATTACTAACAATCATGAGACAGAGTTGTGCACCCTTACAGATGAAATAAATTGAGCGGGAGGCTGCAGTCCATTTAGACGCGGCGAACTGGATCACACACGGACCAAAACCAAAGAAAGGCAGTACAGAGAGGGTGTTCTGTTGGTTTCAATTAACCGCATTCAGGGTAACCGTGGTGAATGAGACCTTTGAGTTTCATAACAAGGTTTGGGGCGTGTGCTTGCACAGCACCACTCACCAACAGGGAAGTGTAGGGACATTAATGCGAACCTTTTCGACCCAAAATCAGTCGACCTTTTCAGAGGCCTATTTTCCTGCTAGCCAATCTGCTCGTTGTCTCCATGCGAGCAGCGTCCCAAAATACTCCGATCTTCTCTCATCTATCGTGGAAGTAGCCTTGAATCGGAGAAAGATATTCGGTCCGTAGGTTTAAGTTCAAAGTTGTCAACAGAGTCTGGAGTATTCATTCAGCTGAGTATCTAAAGCCAAATTTTGTGTTTAAAATAGACTATTAATGGACTTAAGATATCCACACTGGCTGTGGACAAAGCACTCTTCTGAAGTAATTATTCTAAGTAAATTTGCCGTTTCTTCTTTTAATAAAGCCAAAGATATTTTGCCCATGGAAGAGCAAAGTATGGGAAGAGACCAAATAAGTTGCATTTGATCATGCAGCAATCTAAGTTGCCCCCACCTTCACTACACACGCAGTGGGTGTGAATGAATCTTATGGGGCTTCGCCACCTATACATGGATTCTAACCTAATTGAATCATACCTGAATTTTTAAATATTTCTACGTCGACTGTTTCTACAGGTCACTTCCCAATGAAAGCATAGTTTCCTATTTGACGAAACCTACATTCTTCTTTTCATCAAGCTCTTTTGTTAAGCTTCAAAACTACAAATTAGCATATGACGGTAGCTTCAAACGCATTTAAGACAGTGGATATGGTTTCAAAAGACACCTGGAGGTGCAGTTGTCAACACTCCAGTACGTTAGGTGAGGTCTGGCTCGATCTGGAAGTTCTAAGCGACAATGAATGTCCTACCGACTCTTAAAAAGCTCCTTTGATTGACTTGTTCCGAGCTCAGGCTGAAGAAGTCGTCCATCCACAACTGCGGCGACCGATTCCATTCTCCCCACTCACTCAAGCCCTCAGGAACGTCGATTAATGTTTTAACGTGCTTTTAGAGCTGATAGAACTCGATTGCATACGCTGTAGTAAACAAAGGAACAGCTTAAGTAGGTTAATTCATTCGAAAAAGACTGTGAATTTGTGGCACATGTTATTTGCCTCAAATCCTGTCCGTCGTTTTTGCCTGGGTGCCTCTTAGCCTTTAGCCGTTCCATACTTACACACTGTCAACTCCGGATTTCGTGGGGCATCTCTTTTATGTCAAGTACAACCCTCTCAACACCAGGCATTGTGAACTGAAGTGCATGAAAATGAAATTTAGTATTGCCACAATAGCCATGCAACTGCCACAATGGCCGCATGCAAACACCTGGGTTTCGCACTACTTGTTTGGGGCGCATTTTTTTCTCGCGCCGCGTGCACGCCGTGGCGGCCCCTCGCCACGCCCTCCTCCCCTCCTCCGGGGCCGCCGCCGCCCTGCCGCCGTTTGATGTTGCCTGGCGCGTGTGTGCACGCACAGACCCGGTGGGTAGGCAGACAGACAGTTGTTTACTCGCGCGCGCGCGCGTGTGTGTGTGTGTGTGCAACTGCGTGAAGAACGAGATTTCCCAACGAGGACTTCAAAGAAAAGAACTGAGATGTGCGTCGGCATGCGCCCACGTGAGACCAGTAAATAATTTCGCTTGTGCTATGTCCCGTCCACACTTGATCTCCAAAAAAATTAGACAGTACAGCTCACCAAGAGGGGCAACGCCTTTGCTTGCCGTAGAAATTTTACACTCACATTCAGCAATCACCGTGTGTGCGTGTACACACAGAGTGCTTCAACGCTCGGAGAAGAATCAGGTTGAGACCATAGATGGGTAAAGCGTAAGTTTAAGTGTCCTTAGTAAAGTCGGCGCATGACAAATTCGACTTCGCCTCACTTTTCGAATGTCTATGATGATCTGTTTTGCCATAACTGATAATATCTTCAGCTCTGTTTTAACGCAGTGGATTTATACGTATGAGTTTTTGGCATCATTTTAGCACTCAATTTTGATGCCTGGACCCAACATTCTGGCATTCATTTTCTGCTTGGGAGGAGCTGGTGCAGCTTTACGAGAACTGAGTTGTTGGATTTGGCATTATCTACATTTGCGCGTTCCTAGTCTTGACCGGTTAGTAGGGTACTAGTTTAGCAGTTCCACGGGATTCGCTCCAAAACCTTCGTGGAATGTAATAAGGCCCTGAGTCGGTTTACCCGATACCAGTTCGCTTAGATCCCAACACCAATATCACCCTTTAGCTACTCTTACTCTCTCGTTTACGTAAAACACACAACTTAAAAACACGATTCCCCTTTATGCCCCGAAATTAGGCCAAACTTTTGAATCCATTAGGAGAGTTTTGGTATCAACTTGGCGAGCTCCGTTCTAGCCTTGCATTAAATTACTATCACCAAACAGTCAGTGCTTATTAAGATCACGCATTACGTCTGCCGAAATCACAATCGACCGGGTTAGTCTCATGTTAAAACTTTACGTGTTTCTCTTTGAATAACATTATAACCTGGGGAATGCTTGCTCTTGTCTATTTCCCCCCCCCCCCAGCCCTCCATTTGTTTGGGCTTCCGCTTTGATGTAGCCTCCTGCACCAGCAGCGGCCAACCGCTAGCTTGTTTTTTTCGCTATTTTGTCGTCGTCGTCGTTGATGTTGTTGTTTTTGTTGTTGTTGTTTATGTCGTGTTTATGCCTCCCAGCCAGGGACGCCGTCACCGCCTTTCAAGTAAGCGTCGCTCTTCCCGGACAACGTTGTCGCTCTCGGTAGTGCACGCGCGTGGAGGGTTTCCTGGGCGCACGCACACAACAACACACACGGCAACACAAATAGCAAAACCATTGGCAACGATAAAACTAGAAGTGTGCGTGCCACAAGGGCGATTGCGATGCACTTAAGTAGTACCGTTTGCGTGTTGACACTGCCCATTGTTCGGCAGCTTTACGCGCGCGCGTATGTGTGTATGTATGACGTGTGTGCGAGGCATGAAAGTAAAATCCATGACGCCGCCCAATAACTCTACTTATTTATTATGATACCTAGGGAGAGAAAATTAGAAACTTCCTCTGTGTGTGCGTCGCGGCCTGTGCTCAAAATAAATGGAAAGAGTAGCACAAAATCGCACGACGTGCTAGTCATCAGTCACCTTCGAAGTGTCAAAAGCTTGCATTTACGGATGGAGGAAAGACCGAACAGGAGGACCCTCACATGGCCCACCTGACAAAGGTTAGCTGCAGACGTGTTTGACGTGTTTGGGCGTAGTTTGACAGGTTGGTTTAAAAATCGCTGATAACATGAATAGTCCCGAAAACCCAGTCAATTAAGGTTCTCTGACCTCTACAACCGAGCCATCAAATTCTTCAATGAAGGGATTTCTCTTGAACAGATTACAAGGCGTTTTAGGCTTTCAAGGAAATCTCTAAACTGCTTGAATTGTCAAATCACCACGCTTATGTGATCACGTCCTTTTAGTTTCCTCGCATATTTGATTAGTTAACTCATAATTTAAAAAATACTACAAACCTTCAATCGTCAGACATGTTCCCATTCCTATCTCGTACCTGCCACAATCAATTCGAAATGGAGACATTTCAATTGTCGACGACCCAAGTTTATGAGGGTTGGATTAAGAAATCTGCTTTTTCTAGAGAGAGATGTGATGACTACTATTGCATTTTGACTTCAAAAAAACTGTAAACGATTTGATTTCGGAATATTTTTAAATCCAAAATCGATATCTACTACACTGAGACCTGGGCTGCTGGTTGACGATTCCATAAAATGTGTCCGGGGATTATTCACTACTTACGTGTTTCGATTTAAGAACAGGAGCACACTTGAGGTACTAATGCATACGGACGGCTAGTGATTTGACCACAATGTAAATTAGAACTGGTAGCTTGTTGTAGTAGCTCTAATAATGCTCACATATACACACCGTCCAAGTTAAATTCTTTGATTAATTTCTTTCAAAATGACCTATTGTGGGTCCCAGCATGTGGTCTTGAACAACGCCGAGGCCACTGAGTTAAATTTGGCCCGATTACACTTCCCTGATACTCGCGATGGAGAAAAAGACCGGAGAGGACGTGGACACAACCGTTTACTTCAAAGCTCAACCACGTTCATGTCGTTGTGTCGCATGTGGCATTTGCGCGTGTGAGTCATACATGCGCTAACATCGAGACCTAGGTGTGAGGATAATCCAGAATAAATCTTCGTGCTAATGAGGGGTAGTTGAGGATGGTGGCGTGCTGCGAAAAGAGGGACCCTGTGTCCAAGGCTGGAGTAGTCGGATTAACGAGTGTGAATCAACGGGATGCACAACAGACCTTTAGGTTTCAAAGCCCCTGAACATGACCCCATTTGCATGATAAATACCGTTTAAAACTGAATCGGGTCGATCTGCAGGTCTAGTGAAATTTTTTGTTTTCTTGATAAAATGGCTTTTTGGTGGCCGACTCCTACCTAACCCATACAGATTTCGCGCGTCTCATGGTATGTGAACACACTGGACGGCCATAACGGGTTTACGTAGTTCTGTAAACATGGTGTTTGGGGGTTTAGAAATCGTTTAGAAGGCCTCCTCGACGAAGAGAGGCTAACCTCAAAAACCTTTGAGACATATCTAAAAACCTGTCAGATTGATTAAGGAGGGAAAGCGGTGTAGAGCAATCCCAACCTTTTTAAAAAACATAATGTTAAAGCATTGGTAAATTTCATTATTGCCGAACCATTAGCTTTCGAGGAAGGCAAAAATTATTGACTTGATTTCCTAGTTAAGAAACACATTCGAGTAGCGAAATTGAACACCTCATCCAGGCAGTGGGTCCTTCATGATTGCTCGTGGGAGTCTAAAGGCCACGACAGATTTAGTAACCTCTCAGGCGATCGGATAGGTTTCGACGGCTTCATAACCATTGCGATTGGAAAACTTCATTTGCAGTGGGCAGAAAATTGTACGAAGCAGCTTCGAAAGAATTAATTTCAATCTAAATTAAGGTTTGATCAATCCCAGTGATAAATGAAAGTTCAACTGTGGCCATACGACTCATATAATTTTGGTGTCCAATTCAGCTAAATTCCTAAAGACCATTTAAGTGCAAGTAAGGTAAGACGGTTGGCATCCGAAAATAAACTTGGAAAAAGTAAGCCTGGCCATTTACTTTGGAGAACTTAAAAAAGTTGCACCAGCACCAGAATGTCCGTTTTTCGCTGAACTCAACCCAGTCAAAGAATCGCGCTCTCGTAAACATTCCTCATTAAAAATTCTCCTTGTAATCTAGTAAAAGTGCTACAAACTCGGAGCAACTTTTCAAGCACGCATCCTTTGAAGCCGGCATTTCATACGAGTTTGCGCCCCCAACTTCACTCTTGTGACGGTGGGCTCTGAGAAGCGCGTTACCAGAGGGCCTAGGGAGGAGGAGAGAAGAGAGGGAGAGGGGGAACACGGGATGACAGGGTGGAGGACCGTGTCGTCCTCACACCCAGCAGTTCAGGGCCTCAAGCATCACCAGGTTACCTTCTCCCCATGGAAAGCGGCATTTTCGTCTGCACACCGCAATCCAACGTTAAGCGATAACAGAAAGGGTGTCTGGATTGCTGCACAAAGAACCGACCTCGCCTGTTGTCGTGTTCTGGGCTGACTGAGTGCAGCAGTAGCGCCAGGTGAATGCTGGTCATCGTCAATTCAAAAAAACTGAATGCCTGGTGAGCCGCGAAATGGGCTTCAAGTGTAGATCTTATCGCAGTCTTTTTTCACGTGTGATCCTTCTTTTGATAAGGGATAAGCGCGCAGTATTGCTGAGTTGGCTCTAAGAGAATATTACGGAGAATATTATTCGCGGGTTGCTATTTGTCTCTGTATGGGCGGACACTGCCGCCTCAGTAGTTATACCACAGAGGACATACTTTGCTCCGTTCCACTTCACCCCAGACTTCTTTGGCTCGGAAGAAACTTCGTGGCCCCAGAAACAAACACATTACGAAAAAAGGCTTCCACTTAAGACGCTCACCTAATTATGCAGTAATTTGATGATGTGGCGAAGTGGTTTCCTGCGCAACTTTTTAACGCAAGTGGGCTGAAGCAATATTTTCTTTTTGCTGACCCATTTCCTCTTTCCAAAAGAGGTCTGATTAATTGCAACAAGTGGTGCCTTTAACAGCAGGCGCTAGTAGTCTGTAATTTCACTAATTTATGGCAGATCATGCACCGCACGGAGGGGCGAGCTAAGCTCATGCAAATTCACCTCTAGCGCCGTGTAAAGGCGCATCAAGGGTCTGCTGACTTCGCGTGCCTTCACGCCTGGCGGAATTGCCGCAACCTGTGGTATTCGCACGGCACATAACATGACCCGTTTAACGAGGCACTGGGACGAGCCACCAGACTGCCGAAGCATTGACAAAATGAATGCGGCCTCTCAGCGTTGGTGCTTTGGTGCCTCGCACGCAGACCCTCGGTGTCAACCCCCAACTTTTCCGTTCGCTCAGTTTCGGTGTGGAGGTATAAACAAGAAGGGTGCTCGAAAGTGGAATTCGAGATTGTAGCTTTGCCTCTTCGATGAGACCACCAAAACTGGCCCTTAACATGAACCACCAGTGGACGCAGGCGAAATATTACAAAACTGTTTTTTTCGCACAAGTTCCACAGTAAAAAAAGGCGATACACTAGTCTGATGTCTCAGCGCGTTTTTAGAGGGCTTTATAGCTCTGTTTTTCCTGTCCAGTGTGTTTATCCGGGACAAGGCGCCGTGGTGCGAGAAAAGCGCTCTTAACTGAAGCTGCAAGCGGTGTCCGCGCACCGCCACGACATCAAAGTTGCGCGATGGAGCTAACACTTATTTCATGCGCGGAGGGCGGTGGGCTGGCCGTCAAAGAATGCGGCAAAAAAACTAATTATATGGCCCGACGAGATGAGAGGGGGAAGGGAAGGGAGTCGCTGCTCCTCTCCCTTTCCGGTTATGCGAAAAAAACATCAACTATGTGGGACTGGAAAGTCAATCAACCTGTTAATGCTCTTCTCAAGCCCCTGCCTCCTCGGCCCGTGCTGGGTGCACGACTTGCCACCATTTGTAAGTGGCGGTGACACCGACTGTGTCTCACTGGCCAAGCTAGTTTTACGGAGGCTTCTCCTCCCAGTACAGCACTTCAGCGAGTGCTGACTTGATGCGCAAGTAGTTTTCTGGCGCACCACGACGGCATTTTGGGTCCACGATGGCAGTGGTAGAAAACCGTGCAGATTAGCTCATAGGGCACACCGAACTGAGCCAGGAGGTCACTTAAACCCCGAGACACCCAAGCAATATGCACAACGCATTCACCTGCGCACACAAGCACCCCTATCTACGTGATTATATTGCTTCTGCCAGAATTTGTGTGGTCGTTCCATTCAGAATCTGACACCAAAAACGTCAAGGTGGGTAAGTGGCAACCAGACGCAATACGAGCGCCAAATCGTTTCTATACCTTGAGACCACCTAACGATAAAAGTCAAAAGTGACCACCACATTCTTTTTCCCAGCGATGCTGGGGACAATGCAAAAAGTCAGTTCCCGCTTCGTCCCGTGAAGCGCGCTCTTTGGCATCAAGAGGGCTGCAAAGCCACCTGTTCTGCGACACTCCACAAAGAACCGCCTGCTGTCTGCCACTTCGAATTGGTTTTTTCACCCCTAACTCACCTAATTTTGTGTAAGCACGGTCATTTATCACTAATTTTATTGGTATTTGCCTTTATTACAATCTCAGTGTGCCGCTGTTGCTCCCGACACCACGTAAACAAGGCCCTTTGAAGTTTGCGCCGCTGGTTTTATCACCATGTTGTTCGCCCGTGAATTTCCTACGTGTGTATGTGTGTGTGTGGGTGCGATTGTTTCCATTATTCTTTCGTTCAGCCATTAAGGGCGGAGGGGCACGATAGAAAAGCCACGCGATATGCATTCGCCTCAAATTGTGTTCATTTATCACCTTGACTGCCCTTCAACTGAAGTCAGACATTCTCTGAAGTATCTGCAAAGCTAATTTCGGCCACTCGAGCTTCCCTGGGATAACTATGGATGACACCTCCACAAGCCCATTATCGACGTCATCAGACATTCCACTTGTGCTTGGACTATCCCCAACGCCAACTCCATTTACACGTTTGCGTGTAAATTGTGATGTGAACGCTGCAAGGTCACCTTCTTTGAGCCCCTGCTATGGGCCGGGCTTTCCCAGATTCGGTACCACTAACGACAAGTGAATCGGTATACAGTCGTCAAATATGTACGAAAACAATAGAGCATGTCCCTTTGCGTACTAATGCAGGCATGATTTCTCATCCCCTCGTTAATTAGCTCATGAAAATTAGGTTGAACGTAGCGTCAATGCAATGAAATTGGCACGCTGACTAAACTAGGCCCCATCTGAAATTACTGGCATTGATGTATTGTGGAGGGTGTTTCGGTGTTGCCAAGTGACTTCACAGTTTTCGCCATTCCCCCTTCCCTAAAACGAAGACAAGAAAGTCCACGATGCAATCTGTAAGAAGAGGGAGTAGTTCAACTCAGAAGCCATTTTTTTTAAAATTGGCCTTGTGTGCAAGCTTAACCAATTTGCGTGCATTTCACTTTGCTTGAACAGATGCCAGTTGGGTCCTGAAACCACAATTCGTGATGCTCACAGTTCAGCCAATCGATCAGGGCGCCGCCTTCGTTGGGATCCACTCAGTTGGTCTGGAACGAACTACCACCACCCTGTGGTTTCACCCTGCAAACCCGCCCCCCCCTACATTTGTGCTATTCATCCCCTCATGCCTCTTCGTAAGGGCGGTAAGAAGCACCGTCAAGAGCAGCGACAACTTAGTAACACCCGACTAATCACAATGCTTTTAAGACCGATCCGTGCTACTTGCTATGCACACAGTAACTCTTAATAAATTAAGCTTTGCCTGGCCTACGCACTTTTACAACCAAGAAGGATCGACGGTGGCTGTGTTCACAATCACCAGAGGGAGCACCTCTCCCGTAAATAATGTCGCTTTGGCTGCACCGACCGCAGGCCCTCTGACAGCGCATTTTGGCGCAAATGCGTGATGAAACCAAGGTGGCTGAGCACCACGACAGTCTGTGGTCTGTAGCTTCAACGCCCTTAACGTCGCTGTCAGTCGGTCAGTTGCAGGGTTTGTTGTGATCGTCGGAGTTACCTATCAGAGGCGTAATGCGTGAGCTTTGAAGGTTCAAGGATCTTTAGGCATTATCACGGATCCATTTAATCCGCGTTTGTGTAGTTGGCGTGCCTTGAGTACACCTGACTGCTGTAAGGACAGTTTAGAAGTGCGCTTCCATCTGCTGAAGTCAATTCTCGGTCTAGACTGAGAGGTTCGGAGGTCGGTGTCATTCTATTGACAGAATCTGTCACAATTCCCCAAGTGTCGGCTCAATTTGCGTAGCTAAGTCTGTGATTTCGACCATGCCAGCAAAGTTTGAACAACAGCCTTTTGTTTACATGGTGAAACGTTGGAGTGTTAAGTAAAATCTTCGCAAAGCCTGCAACTTTTTGTCTAGATGAAGCAGGAAATTTTTAAGTCCAAGAAAATCTTTTTATTTTCCCACTAAGGCCTATATTTCGCTGTCGGCAAGCGAGCTGTGAATCTAACGATGTAGAAATTGGGCACCCACTGAGAGTAATAGCTTGAGCGAAGTGACTGAATCAAGTTTCCCATGTGGGACACAATAATTAGCTATTATGCAATTCAGTAGGATGAACCATTACCATATATGGGGGGAGGGAGGTAAAACTGACCCACGGCCATTTCCTGCTCAACATCAACATTTGTTCTAGTAACCCCAGCAGTAGCATGGTTTTGTAATGTCTGAAGACAAAGAATAGTAGCCCGGATAGTTGTTTCTCAGCCAGTCTTAACAGACCGGTATCTCAATTCTTTGTGTAGCTTTGTCATTCCCAACTGAGTTTCCGAATCGGAATTAATCAACACAAGGCTGTGAAAACTCAGATGCATGGAAGGATCGAAGAACACACTTGAAAACATGACATTCTTTTCTTCGGTTGCTCTCTTTCGGGGAAACAACAGGTACTACGTGTGTGGGAATGCCTACTCACAGCCTTTAAGACCATTTGTGATTTCCCTAAAGTGCACAATGATGGTGACAAAAGACCCACGTGTCTCTGACTTGTGCCAGGAGTGAACGACTGAGCAGCTTGTCGCCTACGATGAGTGGGGAACGACGGAATGAGAAAGCAGGCGAAAGAGGAAGCGACGTCGTTAGGCCATAGTGAACGGCGCGCGCAATTACGTGCGCACCTCCCCCTTTCATGCACGCGTGTTTCGCACGCACTCACACGTGTACGCGGATAGGCGAACCAATCAGTGGTTTGACGCGCGCGCATGTGCGTTGCGTACGCGTCAAACAAGCGTGTCGGAAAAGGGAGAGGACAGTAGTGCTAAGGGGAGGATGCGGGGGCCGTGACGCACATGAAAGGACCCGTGGACGCTGCACTCGCGCAAGGGTGGCGACAGTTGATCAATGGACATAGAAACAAGAGATAAACGTGTGCGTGTGTGCACGCGTGCGAGTACGCGGTGTGACTCAACTCTTGTCTTGCAGTCATACTGAAAATAGAACAATGAACTGATCGTCCATGGGGAAATTGTATCGTTTTAACTCGTCACCCATGTTTAAGCAAACCCACACATGCCAGATTTCTGCCTGTTCGTTGCATAGGCACTCTGTTATATTTAAAACAAAACATGATATACGAATGTGTCAGATAGCGCAATCTGACTATCCCTTTACTCCCCGAACGAGAATACAGTTTGAGTGGTTTGATGGAATGTAATTTTAACTAAATTCCGTACAGCTGAGGCGACGTAACAAGATTTGCGGCATGCGTGAATCACAGCAAAACGTCAGTCTACTCTAACTGCATGACTTTGCCTGCCATACCTGTACAGCCAAACTTGGCGTCACCAAGCAGCCAACGGGAGCTCTGGCTTCCGACTCGCCATCGAGACATTGAAATTTTGGAGTCGAAGCTGCACCCGTTTAGAGGGAAGCTCATTATCATGCAATGTACACAATAATCTTACAGCACGCTCACTCAGAAAGCAACACGTTCTTTTCTACACTTCGCCATCAGCAAAAGGTTACTTACAGTGTGCACGTTGTCGTTACCGGCATGTCTGACATTGAGTAGCTTACGAAACTGAAGAACTTACCAACAAAACAAAACACCGAGAGATCATTTCTAACAATGGTACACCCACTTTCCCTTGCATGTTTTGTTAATCTTTTGTCGTAGTACCTCCATATTACTTCTCCACAAATAATTTGTATCGCGTTTCCTTCACATTTACACTCAGTTCAACTACACTATCACTAGTGAAATACAAGATAAGATTATCTACAATTGTCGACTGCATGCTGCTATTCAGAGGAAACCGTTTTATTTAAAGTATTAGCTACTTGTTCCCACAACCGCGATTTCAATGGTGAGTAGCGGTTTGCTGTCAACGCGGTCCAAACCTCCCAACGCTTCACAAACCGAGCCCAAGCTTTCGGCGTTAGGGCTGAAATGCCGTCTGAAGCAATAAAAATCCATCCAAAGGGAATACAACTTAAAATTAGCTGTAGTTAATGCTCGTATTGCTATTGTGTGGATAATAATGAGTAAAATTACGACAATTTGGTCACAATGAAGTTTTACTAGTTGGTGCAATTGACTTCAACGCCGATTACGTGGAAAGGAACTGCGGCATGAAATCCACGGAAAGACCACCTTTAAATCCGACAATCAGTGACCTCAGCTGACATGGTTGAGGAGCCAGGTAGACTAGTAAGGTACTGCAGTGCCTTGATAAGCCCAGAGAAATCTTTCTGTGTGAAGAAAGGGCTGCTGGGTTGATCTCGAAATCAGGGAATCTCGGCAATTCCAAGCCCCTCAAATACCGCCTGCGTGTGTGTAGTTGAGACCAAGATTACTACCTTGAAGCATTCAAGACCATTAAGTGGTGGCTTCGGTCATGTGTTTTTGTGAAGGTTGAATTCCATAAGTCGCCATTAGCATTAACATGGAGTCTATATCTGCATTCCTGTTTCGTGAATTCCGTGAAATAATCGCGCTTAGTGGGTGCCTCTCCTTGGGAATCTGTTTTGACGCCACCCAGTCGTAACAGAGGTCTGCCACCTTTTTGCTGGGCCAGCGAGGGGGCAGGCTGTCTGTTCTAAATCGGTGACAGGGCCTCAGTGGACTTTGAAAGTGCGCGGAAACACTCAGAAGAGGACATGCGACTGAGAAATCAGGTGGCGGGGCCCAGTGCCGAAGGAACGACCTTCACTTAGCAGCCAGTAGATAAGAATGATGAACACAACGATGAACAAAGAGAACTTAAAGGGTTTCACAGCTCTACTCCCCGTGGTCAAGAATCCAGGTTTTTTTTTTAAATTTCACTTGCTCTACGTATCGTTGTAACGACTTCATTTATCCTTCCAACAGTGTCAGTGGGGATGTTGGCACCTTCCAGGGAAAGCTAGTACTTTAGGGAACGCTATGTGAGTATTCATGCAATAATATAAGTGATAATTTTCGGTCATCACTAAAAATGAGACGAAATTATCCGAAAACCACAACATCAGGGAATCGCCGAGATGCGTGACTTGGGTCGAAACGTTGTCCAAGTTACACCGTGAGGAACACATCGACACAACTCGGGTGTGAAAAAGGCCAGCGCCTCTGAATCGACAAAATATTTTATTTGACAAATAAACGGGTATGAAAACACCGTAGTGAAACTTTAGCTGGTTGCAGGCAGGGTTGCGTTCGTGGTCTGCCTCATCTAAAGTGAGGCGCATCAGTAGGACTTGCGCTTGTAATTAATCCCTTTAATGGGCATCGTGGCATGTGTACCTCACACACAGACGTTAAGCACAATTTATGGAAGTTCCTGGGCACCACAAATAATCCACGGAGGCTGCCCAAGTACCTCGTGCTTATCAGATCAAGGAGGTTGTGGCGATCAGCAAGCAAAGGCAGTTAGCAAGCGTGAACGAGCACGAATTCAATGACCGAACTGCAGATGGCAAACAGCGATCGATGTCAAGCGATTCTACATAAACTGACAACTTGTTACTTGGCGTAACCACGCTGTCACCACGCAAGGGGCTCCGCCGAGCTCACCTTTGCCAGTGACGGGTGCCATGGGGAAGCCGCCAAAGTATATGATAATTTGAGCTGCAAAATTGGTTTATGAGGTACTTGTTTCCGGTGTGCTTTGAATTTCGTTAGTGCAGGACAAACAGCACCGTGCAAAACACCACTCCTCGCCCGATGTTTGAACATCGGAGGAAGCAGAGGCGTCATGCCCACGGCACGAAGCACAATGCACCAAAGGAAATAACCTTTATAAAATTACTCGATTTCCGTATAAGTCTTTACGAGGATGACCATGAAAATTACCCAACAGAAAGTGCAATAAACGCGTCGATGTATCCTATTGCTAAAATAGTTCCGATTATCATGACATTTCGCATAATTTTGGAACACGGAAAGCATGGTCCGCCCTGGTCGACATAAAGACCTTGCTAATTTGTCTTGCTAAAGATTTCTAAGCACGTCTTTCCCATTTAAGCTTAAAGTTAAATCGTACTAACCTAAGGTACAACTGTGTCCAGGTTAGTTGACTTGACGTCTAGTGTTAAAACATTTGAGCGTCGTGACTATGCTCCGATTTCCTGGACCTTTTCTGTCCTCCGAACAGACAAACGTCCATCTGTCTGCACACGCCAACGCAACTGACTAGACAGGGGCGCATACATCGATGAGGGAGTGAGAGATTAGAGGTGTCATCATCATTATCAACATCAGCAGCAGCAGCAGCAGCTGGTGCTGGGCATAATGACTGAAAAGAGAAGTGGCTGGCAGCCATTTTATTGCTACGAGGACACACAAGGTACTACTACCACTATGGCTAGACGGTCTAGACGTAAACGGGCGCAGTTGACTCAGACGGGAAACGAGACGTCTCGCATACCCTCTCTTTGAATCCGCGATAATGATAATTAGGCTCTCTTACACACATGCACACACTCATAGTTCTGCACGTGTGTGTGTGTGTGAGTAAATGCTGCCGCCAACAACAAAACGCCATCATCGATGTCGTCGTCGTCGTCGCCGCCCAGACATGAAAGAAGACCGACGGATGAAGTATGGCGATTAGCCCCAATGAACATAATTAATCAGTAACATAAAAGATTAATCTTGTCTCTCTCTCTCTCTCTCAATGTGTGTGTGAGTATGGCGTGTGAGAAAAGGTACGCATGACAATTGAGCGAAAATACAGGCATTGAATCCCCTCAGAGGCCTGGACTACGCAAGCGAAGGTCGGTGGCGAATCGGTCCAACGGAAACGCACTCACCGACTTACGCGCTTAGCAATGCTCCAACCAACCCTTCACTAGACCGTGTTACACTGCCCTGGGAAGAGAGAGGGTCATATAGGAGGACCCATTGTCATTTATGCTCCTTACTACAGCCCTTCAGCAATGAACTAAACAATTCTGAAATAGGCAACAGCAGTTATAAGCTTTGGGACAAGATTTCTTGAGTTCCAAGTACCTCTCCCAGGATTTCGGAAATGCTAATATTTTTTTTATTTCTTTAGAAAATACGCAGAATTACAGGAGGCAATTTGGATGGGTTATAAACTTAGCAATGATATTGAGACACTTGGCACTAAGTGAGCCAGTCTATAGCCAGTGGCAACATGTAAATTAAATAATTTTCCAAAATCACCTCTTGCTCCACCCATAAAACATCTAAGCCAGATGTAGACTCGTTTTATGTGTCTGATTTTACAACTGATTTTATTGACTCAAAGTGTTATGATCCTGGATGAACGAGCTTAAAATAAACAATCAATTCAACATGAATTCGGAGACCACTACCGCTCTAGCCATCTCAAGTGAGCATGATCTCTCGGGCCACAGGTCAGTGGCAATTTTTAAAATTATAATTAGGTTACGCTCTACTTCCATATTAAAGTTGCCACTGCAATTCGGGGCACGCCAAACGACAAGTGCTGGTAAACTGTCTAGACCCCTCATATGAGCAAATTAAGCAAACCAAAACAGACATGTGCAACCATGTGGAGCCGTCTACGTAAAGTGCGGGGATCCGAAACAAGCTCTTGATGTCCAGGATTTATTCACAAAGCCTGACTTCCGGCTCAGACTGGAATAAATATATGGCTGTAGTTTTTGGGTTTTCATGGATTGAGCTAGTGGGCCATGTAGTTAAGCAAAATTGTGCGCGGTGATGTGAGCACGCGGGCCCCTCACCACAACTGCTTGGATCGCTGACCAGACCCGTATCTTGCAGAGGCATGATTTATTTTTCCATTCACTGAAGGACATTTTGTTAACATTGCATCTGTTCTAATCATGACTGTCTCGAAGACAGATGTTTACGGAGAGGATGCCCACAGCTTTGTTAATGTAAATACCTGTAGCCATTGGAACATCATTGACGTGACACTGAGTACTTTTGCTTAGCAGAATTCCTACATTTACTCAAATACAATGACTCATTGTTTTATCTGGATGTACGTAACCTCACGGTGTAAAAGTTTGTGGAACGTATCAGACGACAGTTTGCAGGCCTTGTCGACTTCGTTCTCAAGATCCAAATTTACTTAGTGAAACGAAGTTTCATTAGCAGGAAAAAATGCTCACCATTTACCTTCGTTCTCGTAGGCCAGTTTCGCTATGCACAGTGCGCATCACGCCACGCCAGTTAATGGCATACTCAACAGAAGTTAGGTGAGCCAAACACAATGGTTGTGACATCTACGTACTTCTACCTTTAGTGCGCGTTTAGGGCGTAAAAACTAGCTGTTTTAATTTGCTCTACCAAGAGTCTCGTTACAGTTAGCAAGGCGACGTGATTTACTGCTGATGTGAGTTGGTGCAAGAGCCTTTACTGACTTGCAAGGAATTACAGAAAAGTTTTTCAAAGTGCAGCCACACTTGCAGGAATCAGCACATGTGTAGATGAACACAGAAATTCATGTTACGCACACGTGTAGGAGAGATGGCGTTCCTTCGACCGTCATTTAAATCCGTGCTTCACTTCTTTGTCCTTCTGCCAGTGATTTCCATACATCATTTTGTTGCATTCCTTCAACTGCGCACTAATGTAGAAAACGAAATAAGGAACGACGCTAACTGATGCCTGGTTCAAAATCTAGCACACTCGCACACACATGGGCTTGTCAACCGGAAAACGAAGATTTATTGCAACGACGAAGGGCGACGAGTCGTCTTTATGTTTGCATCAAGGGAAAAGCAGTGACTTGATGAAGTACTGATTTCAGCAAAACGAAATTTTCTCATGCAAGGTGTTAGCGATGTGACGGATAAATGAAACCCAAATTATTTCACGGAAGGCCAGTTTTGTCTTCCACGCGGCTATTGATTACCTAGCGAGTGGGCACTATTTGAGCACTTGAAAGGATTGCGTGCATGTCGTCAGTTGCGTTAGGCAACTACACCCCACCTTCAAGATAAGGACGACCTGTCAGAACAGGCAGCACAATCTGCATTTAAGCATTTCCTAAGAAACAATGTCTGCAGAGGAAATTGATATTTGCATTTAAGCAGCGCATGTTGGTAGACTTGAGTAGCTCGATCGAATTCAGGGGGGACACTGACTATTCAAGAGCAGCAGTGATGCACCAGAAATTACCAAATTACCACATCTAAGCATAGCTGGGGGTACAACAAAGACTAACAAGTCTCGATTTGAACTATACCGCGGTGCGCATCCACAAAACATGCAGAAGGTGGCATTGGGAGGTGGGAGGGGACCGGCAGCGGGGAAGGGGAGCCGCTCCGCGACTCACCCACTCTGCCTCCACCAGGCCGCGCCCCCTGTGGTCCGTGACTCTCGCAGCTGCTATCTGCGCATTAAGGTGCACAGTCCAACGACGAAATGCCATGCTGCGGGAGGAAGTTTGATAAATTACTCCGATACGATGCCTCGCGAAAGTGGGAACGAGTGCCTTCGTCTCACGACAAAACAGGTAGAAGTACATTTTGAAGGACTGCCAAAGGGACCTGATGGAGAATTCAAGCCAAGTAAAGACGAAGAACAATATTCGTCATTAATTTTGATCTATGACTATCATTGAAGTTGAACCTTAAACCTTAATGACATGTATATAATCTAAATCATCTCAAAGGCTCAAGGACCCACACAGTCTAAGTTGGAGTACGTTTCGACCTGGGTGCTTCAATGAGCTGGAGATGATCGTAGCTCGTGGCAATGAACTGGACGTCGAGGTTAGAGAAGAAATATGCGATCAGCCTGAATTAACTATTACTCTTTTACAGTTTTTATCTCTGACTGCGGGAGTTATGCAGCACCAATCCAAAGCTCTGCATATCGGTTCTTCAACAATTCAGCTTTCCTCGTGGACTCTTCATACGCCGGGCCGCTGCGCAGAACATTAAAGAGGAAGTGCCACCCTAACCTTTCCCTAATGGTCACCCTGTTACCCATTAGCTGTGTTCATTTTTCACAAATTAGCTTCTAGGCAGAAATTATTCCTACATTGCTGCGTCTGCCAAAACATCCCTTTGCATGCTGTGTTGTCTAAGACAGGAGTTATTTGCAGTTTACCGCATCTGGTTACTTTTACCGTCGCCATCCGGGTGGCAAAGTGGACTGTTATTTCCTCAGGCACATCAAGCCATCCTTGTAGCCAAAGTAATAACGCTTCGGACCGGCATAGTTTTTTCCTCAAACTTAGGCAGATGTCCCGAGTCCATCCATAGTTGATAGGTAGAAAGCTACTAACTCCGCGTGTCTTTTATTCTGTGTTTTGTCGACCATTTAAATTTACCAAATCGGGTCGATTGATGGGCATGTGATGTTATGATTTTGCAGTAAGTCAGTTTTCTCTAGTTAATTCATCCTCAAAGCAACTACTACGAAGTCGTAACAGCTTAATGGAAACACTTTAGTCAAGTAGAAAAAAACAAATGAAGTGATGGTGACCAAAGCACACACACACACGCACAAGAACATTTCGATCGTTCGAAGTCGATTGATTCAAGTCAAATAAAAGTTCAATACTGCGGTCAAAATCACTATTTGGCTGAAATGAAACACCGCCATTACGGCTGTTGGCTGTGGGGACCAAAGGTTTCACACCCGAACTAGCACATTTTTTTAAAAAATTCTCTCCTAAAGCCACTGCCCCTTTTATGCAGTCTTACACACACCCTCCTTCCCTCGCTGGATTAAAAGTCCGTGGGATAAAAACGGGGTTCCGGTTCTGTGCGAACCCGCGCCCCTGCAAAAAGCGAGCGGGCGGGTTGCGAACGGAGGCGCGACAAAAAAAACAGGAGGAGGAGGAGACGGCCGGCGAAACGGGAACAGCTCGGCGCGACTTGAAAATGTGCGTCCGCGCTAGGGCAAAGAAAATTTGAGCTCTCTTAATTGTTCAGTGTCTTTGACGACGTGCCGGCTAACCGCTTGTGTGAGTGTAAATTTTTTGCTTTGTCATCACAGCCCTCATCACTCCTCTCAACTACAAAAGCAGACGCGCTTTTGCTTTGCTGAAGAATCTTTTTACTGACAGACAAATGGGGACGGGGTTTCGAAAGAAGCTGAGAGGACTTATTTTAACTCGTGCGTGTATTTAACTTCTGGAGAACTGTTCCACGACGAGTTAAACTTAAGCAGGTATTTAAGGGTTTCGCGCCGTTCACAAGTGATTTGTGGCACTTATCTGTTGTGTTTAAACGCAAATTTTAGCCACGATGACTTGGCAGCTAAACGAATGGTTTCTTCTTGGGCAAGGAGCTCAGCTCCGGGCACAAACTGGGCTCTGTTTGAGCTGACGCAAAGTTGGGTTTTGCCAGTTTTTTTTTTCAGTCATTCTATTCATGATATTTTAGGGTAATTTACAACCGAGTTAAAGAAACTACTTCACCTTTAGTGGGACTTTAATGATTTCAGTGCCTTATTTGCTTGCCGTGAACGAAATTTCTGGTTCCCAACGTGCATCCTTCATGGATAGGCACGTCTAGAATTTCCCGTGAGGGCATGAAGTTGTTCGGGAATGAATCGGATTTCACTAGGTGTTCGGGGACCAGATCTTAGGATTGGCCTGCAGCCTTTGTACTTTATTCACGAGTGGTGGGCTGCCATATTGTGTGTCATGTGACTGGGAGACAACAGTCCATCTTAAAGGTAACAGTGATTAGGGGCCCTTTCAGAAGTCGAGTGTTGCGGAAGTAATTACATCAGGCATTTTTCCTGAGAAAAGCTTCTTCACTTGAAGTCTTGGGTCACCTTCGTTCAATGGTTCTAAGATCCATTCCAGCCATCGCATAACTCCTCCCGCCAACATGTGACATTTTTAGCCATTTCACGGAACTGTTGCCGAAGACTTGCTCCAGAGTAAGTGAACTATGTCAAAAGCAATGCCGACTTACCAACATCTGTTTGGTGATCATCGGGAACCCAACTCCGCAACCCACAGATTCTCAAATTGGTTTCCGTTTTCCAAAGTGCTTTAAATGTCAAGCTTAAATAGCTATCCTAGCTTATTCGAGACCAGAGAACCAGTCGACTCAGATTATCAATAATCCTAAGACTGATTTCGACTCGGTATGCAAGCAGGGTGGGGTTTACCGATGGAATTCAGTTCCGTTCTTTTCAAAGGCACGCACATTGACAAGACTCGATACACAGACCTTGGGTCGAGTTGTCGATCGCTTGCCCGGTAGTTAGGAACCTCCAGCCTCAGTTCACCGCACAGTCTAGTTCATTTTGATGTTCATGTACGACCATGACATTAGCCGGCTTTTTCATCTGGAGGATATGAAGAAACAGTTATTTATTTATTAATTACTGGACATTGTTGGTTGGATTGCTGTCTGATGTAAATGGAACGAGGGAGTTCACGGAACACATTTTTCAAGGTCATACCCTCGGCACGGCGATGTTTCACGTTCAATCACTCTTGGAGTCTAGATTGGCCATCCGTAACATACAGTGGATTGTGATTGCCCTCTAAGAATGCGGCCACCGATAAAAAAATTAACTTGAAGCATTTTTGTTTTACTTAACATACCATCGTTACGTTGAGGTATATCTTAGGTTTCCAACTCAACATTTTCATCTGATTTTATCAAATGTCACATCTTTTTTTACATTCACGGTTGATTGGAATTTCAGTGAATTTTAAAAGCTGTAAAATAGTGACAGAATCAGTGTCTGGCTACATGTGAGTCTGATTACACATTCTTAGCATAGACCCCGAAATGCTATGGTTAAAAGGGAAAATCAACAATACCGACACCTTTTATGGCACATGTATTGTTGTAAGCAAGCAAGCGCTTAAATTTCATTCTTTTATATATCATCTAAACATATTCCTTAAGTCACACGTAATTGAATAACGATGAGCTTACCTCATCTCTGACTCACAACATCAACAACAACGGAAAACCGTTGTCTTCCCCCAGAAGATGCTTTTGGAAGAGTAGGGTAGAACGTATTTAAGGCTAGCTTTAATTAAAATTAGCACTTGCATGCAAGCCACAGGCTCTGATCAGCTCCACGGGCTCCCATTCCCACCTGTTCCTTTCAAATCCCTTAGGCTGGGATAAGGTGTTTTGTGCACGATAATGTGCTGGCAGAATAAAATCTGCACAAGTTCGTGTAAAGGATGTTGTGCAAAGCTGATGCAGTGTGAGCAACAAATGGTGAACGAAAACGCTCGAAAAAGAAGGTATAAGAAGAAGCTCGTTACGATGAGATGAACTCCGTTCTCAAACCCTTTAGCCGCCATTATGTTGATTTGTTAGAGCAGACATCAGGTTTTTTCGCAAAGAATTATTGCCAAATGAAAGTTAGGTAGTCAAGTTAATGTTTATGATTCACTATGACATGTTGACCCAGAGCCAAAAGGCTGAACGCCAGTGACTCCAATGGTTCGTGAAAATAAATCCCAGGCAAATTCAAAATTAGCCAGCAGAACTTACGCAAGAGCGTATAAGGAATAATCAGTTGTGGAAAGACAGACTCCGCAGGAGTAAAGGAACAGTTGTTGAAAGGACAGTTTGAGATAGGTTGTCTAGCTCACTACACAAACTCACTGTGGCATTTAAAGAGTCTAAATGACATAGCGCAACCCAAATAGAATTTGCCTTATTCAGTGGGGTTCGGACAAACCAGGCGCCATAATCACATGCGAAGTTTCGCTTTTTTCGGACCATCCTGCATGGGGTTTTCTTGCACAAATTTAGCTTATCAATGTGGTTTTGTTTGTTCAGAGTGGTCTATTTTACTTTCGAAATCGAAACCTTTGCCAGGACTCCACTCCATTCTAGCATCCCTCCCAGAAAGCCGTTTGAAATCTCATGGAATGTTCGCTGCACTAGATTGTTGTGGTATCGTGCAATATAGGCTGTCTGAGATTCTGTTTCGCATTTGAAACTCAGAGGACAAGTAATTGTAAATAGCAAATAATCCGTAGGGGCTCTGACGACTTTCTATGCTAGTCTCCTTGTATCATTTTTTGATTGACCAATTTAGTCAGGACGACCAGTGTAACATTTGTTATGATATCTCCGTATAACACTTTGTTTAACTATACTGGTTTTGTTGGAACACTGTTCAAAGTTACCGGTGGTGGATAATCCCAATTAAAGTCTACCGTGTCGGATTATTTTTGCTGTCCTTCGATTCCAGCGCGCGTAGCCGCCCTGAAAGAAGTACAGAGATGAAGGAGGTTAACTAGGTTGCCCAAAAAATTTGTTGACTGTGGCTCGCTGGTCTAAATAAATTTTGTCACTCCACGCAACTTCCCTAATAGCCCATGTTTTTGCACTACCTTGGTAAGTGCAATATTTACTCTGCCAAAGTCGGTGTTTGACCACATGTGAAAAAGCAAAAGCCATTCTTTTTATCATGTTTTGGATGTAAAACACCTAAAGTGGCTTTATTAGGGCCACCGCCCTACTACATTAAGATGAAACTGTGCCTGGCTGTATACCACTAACAATTATCTACGTCTTATTTTAAACACGTATACTTTTTGTAGTGAATCGCAGACTTTTGGTGCATGTATCTCTAAAAGCAATTTCGTGAATACTTAAGTGCTTTAATTCGGTACCGATTATTTGTATTGACTTGAAGAAATCAGTTGAAGTTCGGCGTACACCTTGAAATAAACTCCAGATAAATAGGACTTTTGCCGAAAAAAATTTTCTGCAAAGAGAATTTTAAGTATCATTGCGAAACCGGCAAGAATTTGCGAGGTGACAGGAAAGCCTCAATTATGGAGCTAAATGTGGACGATAATGCGCGAGATAAGTCTTGGTTTGCATTCAGTCGGCCAAACAGCTGATTCAAAAAACTGTTCATTAAAATGTGATTCCTATTTTGACACGTAAACAAAATTAATGAACGATGTGGTGGTTCAGGGTCCTTTGTTTTGAGCGTAAGTTTTTCAAGTCCATTTTGTTTGGCAGCCGCCCTTAGCTCTTTGACACACAACAGAGTGACGGAACAAAGCGGCGACTTGACAAAGCGTGTCCTGTGCTGGAGGCTCCTTGTTGTGTGGCAGCCCTTTTATCAAGTGAAACTGGGAACGTGGTAAAAATAAAACGAATTCCTAACCATAAAGAGCTTTAAGCATAAGATGGTCTTTTATAACACAATTCAATGACAGGAAACGTGTATTAACTTCGTTGACAGATATGCGCAAAATGGATGACAACCGAGGGGACCTGGTAACAATTAGATGGCTAATTGATCCTTTGTGCTTCATCCAATTGAACTGCGATGTCACAAACGTGAAAAACTAACTCAAGATCATCTGTGAAAACTAATAAACTAAAAGGGTGGAGAGATCTGGGATAGAAATGTTCCCGACATCATGGTACAAGCTTACTGAAGTGATCGCCAACAGATAGCTAAAATGACCTTGCCTCAAACATTGTTCTTTGGTGAAAAGAAAGTTTGATGCTTGAACTCCAAGATAAACAGCCGCAAGTTGATAGAGCTTCAAACTCACGAAAGTACCCGTTTCCAACTCTACGCTACTGACGTTTATTGCCAGGTTTAAATGACTCTCGCTTCCGTGGTCTATAATTTGTGGCTAGAAAAATTAAACATTGTGCTTCCGGAAATTTACAAGCGCTATTGAAAATATGGCAGGGTCCTGGTGGAAGATGCATTCTCTATTTTTTTAGAGTAGGGACGTTTACTGTTAGATCGGAGCACAGTAAACTTGGAGAAGAATTTGTTCTGCTTCACCCAGGTCCCACCCAAAGTGAGCATGGGGTTCTATGTCAGGAAGAAATTTGGCGCGAAACAACTGAGGTGGCGAAAATGCAGTCCACGGCTTATTTCTGGAAATCTGAGACACAAATGTGTGCAGCTTCTGTCTTACGTGACCCTCTGCCTTTGTGCTTCTGTCCTAATTAATCCCAAGCCATACTCTACCCGCCTCAGAATAATAAAACGACAGTTGTCGCAGCTGTTATTTTATTTTGACACCTAGTGCAAACTTGCAACCTTGAAGGTGTTGCTTACGATATGTTTACAGTCGCACCAAAATTGAAAATATGACCGGCTCTGCCGCCTCCTTTAACATTGGCGACTGTCTCTCGAATAAGCAGCACCACGCAAAGTTTTTGAGGGGTCAGTTCCAAGTGGAGGATTCCATGGTTGAAAAGATGTTTTTTTGGCTTATACATTGATTTCTGTCTTCAACCTATTTTTTCTTATTAGTGGAAAAAACTGAGTGGCTAGGTACGGACCGCACTCTGGACTAAGGAAAAGTATTCTAGCTTGCGTGAGTTTATCATCAGCACCCTCTAACCAAGCTCCGGACCCAGTTAGTGTACCAAAGACGAGTTTAATGGCTGTGCAAGCTTCTACACGGGAGGTTTTCAGTCGGTGAAACGGCGCTCTCTTCAAATCACTCCATCAATAGCAGCTATGTGCGTTTGATATTTTAAGTGCTGTGATTGTAATGTAGCATTGTCCAAAGCTAGTCTTTAATTTCCTTACTTCTGTTTGGCTACACTTCACTTAGCAAACAGAGGCAAAAATTAATTAACAAAAAACTAAGCGATTAGTTACCCCTGATCGCTTTTACTTTGAATTTAGTTATCTCATTTGATCGAGTGATTATTGGATCCCTGATAATCAATGACAGCACGCAGTTGTAGTTTTTTATGAATGCTTCTTAACGTAGGCGATGCTTATTAAATCGCGGAGTTCGATCTCAATTACAATATGGCTATCTTTGTGCTTAAATCTTCAGCTGAGGTCTAATTTTTGGCAATCACGTAAAAATTCAAAAAGTTCCGCACGATGCATTTAGGTGCGATCAGCTAGAGATCAGATTTTGCTATTGCTCAAGACCGCCTTACAAACGCCCGGAGTTATTTGCTTTCAGAAGAAGGGAGCGATGGATTATGAAAGTGTAATTGTACCTAGACATGTACATGCAACACGCTTTTAGTACAAGCATTCCATTGAATCGAAATAGCCGTTTGAAGCACTTATTGCCTAATCTAGCAAAATATGGGGCTTAAAACTTCATTTACATTTGGAATCTACACTATACAAAATCCACACCTTGTTTTGCCCCGCCGACTCCTCCAATCGTCTGTACTTCGGGGTACGCGTACATTGGACTGGTCAAATATGTCTCCCTGTCTCGGCGTTGTCGTCTCCACAGTGAAATAAGACACATGACCAACAAACTACTCAGTGGAATGACACTCGACAACAGCGCGATGGCCCAATTCTTTCTTTCGCATTCTATCCATACGGTGAGGTTGAAAAATTCGCTCATTGAGCCCTCTTTTACTTGTACGTCCATGACGCTGGCCTTTTCAAAGACGTCTAGCCGACAGGACTTCACGAGGGAGGCATCACAGACCACTGGGTCGCACACAGCGGCCTCGAAGCTCGATCGATTGATGGCGACCTCGATCGGTCCCGGTGGACCGCGGAGAATGAGACGATGTAGGCTGTGCATTTGCACGTCGACAGTCGCAGCCTTCTGGACGGGTCTGAGCTGCCACCAGGCGCAGCAGGTCTCGTGGGCCTCTTGTTGTAGCCCTGCGGTCCGCCACTCGAGCCAGTTCCTCTCGTGTGCATAGACTGCCAGCTGGGTGTCCTCGGAGGCGGACTTCACTGTGAGGCGGTCACCGCTGGAGAGACGAAGTGGCACCACCAATGGAGACTCCTCGGGCACCTAAAGTAACCAATTGAAGGCTCTCTTGTCGCTCTCAAATTAACTCACAATTAACAGGGTCTTGAGTGTCGTTTTCATTCAAATTAGGACCCAACTACCGCAGGCACTTTAGGCATTCTCCCGTTTAATGTTGCCTTGTACCCACAAGAATCGTGGGTTAACACTAGGGAACAATCCAGCTATTCGTCACTGGAATCATTGACATTTGTGATCAAATTTGCAAATAATTATCCCTAAAAATACTGTAGGTTCGCTTACATGGAAAGAACACTAAAATGACCAAACATTTTGACCAGGTCTCGTACCTCGAAGCACCCACTGGACACAGCGCTTACCTTAACGGGTCAAAGCACAGTGGCTACTGTGAACTAGCGTTCAAGGATCAATAGTTGGTAATATCCAAGAAGGAGAAAATCGGAATGCGAAACTGGCCTAACTTTGGGTTTAAACCACACAAATCTTCCTCCTAACACGTAAACGAATATTCATGAGGTTTGGACACATTCGTGAACACTGGGACTACATGTGGTCCGGCGTCATGATGTAAAATGTACAAGTTCAAGTTTGTCATGGCCGAAACTTATTTTGCCTTGAGACCATGTCCTAATTTGAGGAATCACCGTCATCGCCCTAAGGGTGTCAACTCATCCAATATCTCCTCTATATGGAGACGAAACAACTCATTAGTTGGTAAAATGGGAATCAGACATGGCAAAAGCCATTATTCATTCACCCCGCCTCAAGACTGCGTAAATCCAGAACCATTTAGTTAGTTTTGTTCAGAGTTGCAGAACGCATTCATTGCCTTTTTTTAAAGGGTAACTCCTCATCCATCCCGTAACGCAGCTACGAGTCCACCTAAGGTCTAATTGAGCCTTTTGTGTGCAATGGCGCAGTGATTAAGTCATAACTACTTTTTTAAACTGAAATCCTTTGATTAACTAAGTCAGTTCTTTTTCACTTTTAAAATTTACCCTCTAATGTCGCGTGCGCAGTAGCGGGGAGAGACGACAACAACACGAGTCTCAAATGACGCGCGCGTGTGCGTGCGTGCGTTCGCACGGCTGGGTGGAGAGAACTCTAATGCTGATGCTGCTGCTGCTTCTCTCGCTGCTGCGTTTGAATTCAGCTTTTTTCGGTCGCCGCGAGTCCTTGTCTGGGCTTTGATGAAAGTGTCCCGCCTCCGAGAGCACGTGTGCACGCGCTTTGGCTTTTTTTGCATCCCTTATGAGAGCTTCAGGACAAATTCAGATGCCCCCTCTCTCTCTCGCTCTCGCTCTCTCACAGCGCGTAGCGCAGTCGTCGGCCTTCTGTTCCCCTGCTCACTAACTGGCGGCACTTTTCCATAACCTTGAAGCGACGATTTCCGATAGTTTTTGCCCTCCAAACGCCGGTGCGCACGTCTGCGTACAAGACCTTCCAGGGTGGGGGGGAAGTTGCTTTGCTTTTGTCGGGAGACTTGATTGCACGCATGGTTTTCATTAAAATAAATGTAGGAAGCGCTATTGAGGCCAGCGGTAGTCTGCCGTAGGCTATAAAAGGGTTGTCTGACACCCAGTTCTAATGGCTGTTAACGTTGTTGTTATGTGGGTCTGCTTTTAAGCCCTATGTGGCCTTCATGACTGAGATAGGAGTGAGGTGGTGGGGTTCCCTTCAGTTTTTTGTGCCGTCAAAGTGTAAGCTGTGTGGCCATCTAGTGGTTTGCGGTTGAGTTGATAGATTCACAATTAAAGTAACTAAGTAAACTTTTGGACTGTAAAACATGTAATCATAAGCAAGTATTTGGTAATTTAATGAAGACGCACTGTATTCGAAATAATTTGTGCCTTATATGGGACTTCTCCTGCTCCCATCGGGATGAGTTAGGATTTCATGTGAGTGAAATGGGGCTAACCCATCAAAGGGACTAACTCCTTGAATAAGGAGAGCTGCGAATATGCAAATTTCAAGCAAGTCCTTGGAAAAAATGGGGCATTTGGAAGTGATCTAGAGCGGCACTTGACAGAAGCCTGGGTGGTATTATTGAGAGTCGTGGCAACTCCATTGAGAATGACGTCACTCAAGACCTGGTGATTTTAGAGTCCATTTTAAATAAAAAATTCTTAGCTTTCAGCCGAGAATGTGCCTATTCAATAAGCAGTCTTAGTGACACAGTAAATTTACTGCGGGTGAACTGAGCCTGTTTCTAAAAATAGATTTCGTTAAAAGATCTTATTCAGGTTTATGTCCACTGCCTCATTCAAAGGTAAATGCAGACGAACATCCGTTATCTCAGTCACGGTTTGAACAAACAGCCGTGGTGCAGGTTCCGCGGTCTGCGGTCAACACGCCAAGGCACAGCACCCCACGAAGGTCATGCATCACCGTGGTCTGTGCAAATAATTACTTCTTGTTATCAAAACCATTGTTTATAAGGGTAGGTAGGTAAGTTGTCTTTGAGGCTCGGAACCGCATTAGAGGAAAGCACCGATCCAGTGACAGGGTTGGACTGCGAGGATGTTCTCATTAGTTTATCGACTAAAAACGCGGTATGAACTTTCTAGGGTAACAGCCCGGTAAGAGCCAAGTAATTAGTCAAATACAGCCAACCACTTACAAAATGCATAGTTCTAAGAAAAAAGCGCATAAACTGCCCGGAATACTCTGGCGACGGACCAGACTGTTATGTGAGCGTTTTTCTCATCCAAAATGCATCCATCACGCCCCCCTCGCTCGCCCCAAACGCGGGGTGTGTGCGTGTGTGTGTGAGCAGCAGCGGCCTGTCAGTTCCAGGGGTGCTGCGCGTCGGTGGGGCGGTGGGGGCGGCGGTTGGAGCAAAACGCGCGCGGCGGTGGAAAAAAGAGGTTTCAAAAGAGATATACAACCTCAGAGCTCACTTCCAGACAGAAGCTTGTGCTCAATGCGTCATTTGAGTAGTAATTTACGATGCAGAGGGCCGTGCTTGGAACGAAAACCAAAGTACGCAAGTAAAAGCTTTGAGGGGCAAAAGAGATCCCAGTTATGCAGATTTGGTAAATGGGGACTGAGTCAAGAAACACCAAATGGCAAATATCGAAATACAAGGACGAGTCTGAACACGATCACGATCTAGTCATGTCGAGCTGTAGGCGATCATCATACTGATGCCGACAATTCCAATTTATTTTCTTCGAAGTGCGAGAAAGTGAAACTAAGGGTGCAAATTTAGCGAGTGTTCCTGCACAGTTATCGTTCTGACACAAGCCGCAGCACTGACTTTTTATGGAACAAATGTGAGAAGGGCCATTCAAATACTGCTTTCTTGTTATACCAGAGGCAATATTTACCATTAAGGCAAGCAGCTTTAAACGACTTATCACAAAAATGATTTACTGATAGAGAATGAGCCATCAAGTCCGTCTGAGTTGTTGAATGAAGTAGGCGGAAACAGTCGGCATAAGCTAGACAGCATTCCCGTTGTCTTAATATTGAATCGACTCAATAGGAAAAACGCGAGACAGTTCAACTGACCTGCACGAGTAATGTATAAGTCTTTCCGGTTATTCGGTTGGGGGACACCGCAGCCGTCCACACAGTGAGGCCGGGCTTGTTCATGGAGATTCGGAGGCTGTCGCAGAAGGACCAGAAAAGGTGGGTATTGAGGTCGGCGTCCGCATTTGGGGCCAGCACAAGTTGGTCGCCAACTGACAGCTCCACTTCCTTCGTCTGCAGCCCATACTGGCAGAGGAGGAAAGCCAACAAGCCCGTCGCACCAAGAACGCACGTCGAGCCAAGAATAAGCCGGAGGGGGCGAGTGAGTCGGCGTTTGTAGGAAGTGATGGCTGTGAAGACTATAAGGAGCACGAGGGCTATGCCGCTGCTGATTGCGAAGATAAGTGGCAGGTTCGGTTTCTGATCCACCATTTACTAGGCGAAACATGAGAAGTTTAATGCAACCGTTTGGAAAATTCCACTCACCACCCCAAACACGAGCCCACGCACCTGAAGGGTGCAAATGTTAAGTGATTAGGCCAAAAGGATGGCGTTTTGTCCCCCAACGAAAGAAAACACTAACCACTTATATGATCTTTTACTTTTGCTGCCGTAGTTATTTTCGGCGGAATTTATAGTCGTGCTTCAAGTGAACACAAAGGAGCAAAATGCCAAATAAATGTTGGCAAAGCACAATTCGGTGGCCGTAGATTCTAAGGGATCAGCGTCACGGAAATCACGCTAAAAATCCCTGGCATGAAGCGTTTCCAGTGCAAAAAATATACAGTACCAACTGTAATCGCTAGCAGTCCTAAAAGGTGGCATGTGAGTTCTGCTTTGAACACAGGCATGCTCAATTCTGGAATACGGAGGGGATTAAAACGTATTTGCTCGGAGTGCCACCGGACCCCTAAGCAAATAGCCATTCGTTAGGTAATTTGCATTTGCAGGGTCTTCGCATCAGGGTCGGTTTAATTTAATTTATATATGGTACTTTTAAATCCCTTTTTAAACTATCAGCTATAACTTTACTTGGCTACAGTAAAGTTTCCCTCTGTTAAATAGCGTGAGTGTTTGAACTTCAAATAAAATGCTAAATCTTACTGGGTGCAATTCTTTGGCTTCCCTGGGATGTCCCATAAAGAAACTGCTTGTCGTACACGGTCTGTGCACTGGGCGTCTCCCAGCATCGATTTGCCATCAGCAATGCGATAATCGTGCTGGGCTAGGCACGGTAGCCAGGGCTTCTCGTTTATCATATAAAAAAGTAATCACTGGTCTCATTCTTTGCATGTTTGCATGTGTGTGTGTGTGTGTCGCCAGACGCATCATCAGTTAGGTTGTGTTGTAGACACAGGCGCGGCAGCAATGTGTGTGCGCTTGTATGCATATAATAACTAAACTATTCCTTTTGTCTCTCTCTCGGCTTTCCGCTAATGATACTTGTATGCGTGCTTGCGTACGTGCGTGCGCGCACGCGCGTGTGTGTGCCTGCTAGGGGCTGCGGGGGGTTCCTGCAGTCTCCCCACGTGTGGAATGCGATGCAGCAGAAAGGCATCTGCCCCGCCCCACCGTTCTCCGTCTAGGTTTTTGATGTTGTGCAGGGCTTGTTTACACCCGCAGGTCTAGCGTCTCCGAAAATTAAGGGAGACAAAACGTTGCGCTAAAAGAAAGCGATTGGCTGTGCTAGCTCATGCATATAACGGACGTTTTTTGCCTCAAACCTCAGGTTACCTCGACGAGGGCCATGAAAAAGAGGGTTTGGATAAAAACTCCGTGTCACACTGCTACCTTCTAATCTTACTAAACTTTCTGGGATGAAGGAAAAAGGAATAGAATTCAGAACTTGAAAATCGCTGGACGAATATTTGTCTGTGAAAGAGACTAAAACAGTCATTGATTTTGAAAATCAACAACCATGCAAATGATTCCAAAATTAGGAATTTATCCATGTCTAAATAAATGCTTGATAAAGGCCAATCTGCCAACAAAGTTTGAGCTTGTCTTGAACAAGCTGGCTGGGTGTCTGGGACGCTGGCCGATAAAGGCGAGTGTCGCTCTCCCGGCAGCACGGAATTCCCAAGCTATCCGGTCCAACCGCTAGTCTGTTCTTTGTCGCCCTCAGGGGAACACTTCATGGGGCTTAATTGAATGCACGTTGATTGAACCATAAGCGCCGTTTTGAAATTTATTAGTGACTTGAAAGCATGGCGTATTACACAGTAGGAACGGCTTGACTTTGGTCCGTTGTACACACCTTTGATTTCTATATTCGAATTCTATGTAAGCTTACACAATAGTTATTAGTAGCATTTTATTTTAGGCGTCGAATTTAAGGCAGAAACGTCCTTTGACGTCATTATCATGTTCGTGAAAAAAAGGAAAAAGACATATGACCATGGCGTCAGTAACATTTACACCAACGAACTCTGTACACGTGTAGTGAATGCAAAAAATGGGCCTAGTCATTTTGCAAGCTATTCGAGCGCTAGCTCGTTGCTCTAACGTCCTTGCAAAAGGTGTTGTGAACGCCCTTAAGAAGCACTTCTAATCAACTGTTCGTACTTGGTTAATTTTCCCAATGTGTCTTGGACCAGCACGGACTTGGTGCATCAGCCGGGCTAAGGGGCAGGCACTTTGTTCCGGGCGGCAGACACCCAAAAAGCAGCTTGGAATGAAGTGGTGCAAGTTCATTCTGGTAAGCCTGAATGGCCATTTCACATTCGACGCGGTTTTTATAGGACACCTTATTTCGCATTTGAACCAGAGACCCGTCCTGGTATCACTACGAGCTTTAACTTGACGCATGAAGCTGAGTGCCGGAAAGTCCGGGCAGTATGAGAGTAGACGCGCCGTTTGGACCGGGTTCAGTACGGCCCAACGCAGGCTCACGTCCTTTCAGTTTCAACTTGATGCTTTGCCCTGTATCTGCTTCGTTCTTTCAATTAGTAATATTCACCAAATATCACCGATTTTTCGATTAATTATGGTATGGATCATCTTTCAGAACTCACAAATTGCTCAAAATGTACAGCCTTAGCTACGAAAGGGAGAGTACAGATGGATTGTTAATCTAAATAATCGATTTCCCCGTTATCGAACAACAACGATTTTAAGTTCACCTAGTAGATGACAGAACTGAGCCCGGATACTCCTGGGTTGGATAAACGCATTCGATGTATATTCGTAATTAAATTTCCCAGAGAAATGTACGTGCTGAGAAAAGCTATTTTATAAACGCAGATGGAATTCCTTAATTCACTGACTTTCGTTTCGAATATCCCACCCCCCTACGGCTGCAAACCAAAGGACCAATGCATCATGTTGTACGACTTCAAGCCCACACACTGCCACGTCAGCTCTCGCCGAGGTCAAAGATAAACTGTTCTCGATAGAAAGTTTTTTCTCTTTAGCTGTTATTGAAATAATTTTCTCGCTTTATAAACGTCACTAACATGGGATTTGTATGTAGTAATAGCCACTCCACGTGCATTTACGAGATCAAATTAGCAGCATAGGGCCCCAACTTGCAGAAAAACTTCCACATTTTACACACTTGTCGTACTATCAACGACAAAGGAAGATAATACTGAAGTAGAATTATGATGGCCGTTTGGGTCGGCGTAGTTAGCATCAATTTTCACAAGCTTTGGGAGATGAAATATAAGAATGAGACCCGTTCCTTTATAGTTCTCAGATAATAAAGCCATTTATCAAATCTAGTTGGTGCGCATAAGTATTTACAAATAGCTTGAGCTAAGGAAAGCTGCGGCTCGTGATCAAGCTTCATTGGCGGGTAAATTTTCATACTTGACAAAGGCAGCACAAGTAATAGCGGTTTCTCGCAGCATAGAAAAGGTGGCATCCTATGGGTGGCAGTTACTTCAGTTAAAAGGCCACTTACAAAAGGATTTCGAAAATACGTGAATTTAGCAACTATATTTGTGCAAAGGCGTTTTGGTCATCACTTTCAAGATAATTAAGCCATACATTCCTGGTCCTAGTTTATAATGGAATTCCTACATTTAAGTGTTTCCATGCCTAGACAAGTTCTAACAGGTTAGTAAAAACGCCATTTGACAGGACGGTGAATGATGATTAGTCGTTTAAAAACAGAAAAGGCGATATCCGTTCAAATTCAGTTCCAGCACTCTACAGTATTTAAGGGAAAAAGTGTAATTAGTGCTGTTACATAATAACGATTCAAAAAGCAAAACCACGAAAGCGATTCCTCGCGCAGATGGGGACTTTTCTAGTTAATCATGCTCAATAAATAACTGCAATGGGTACGATCAGGTGGTTTTTTAAATTAACTTAAGTAGGTCTACACAGGCGCAAATGATGCTACTTGTATCAATACAAAGAACTCACACACCGTGTCAACAAGTAATCGGTTTTTGAGACATGCTTTTTGGTCGCAATAATTGACGGGACAATTACCTAAGACGATCTAGCTTAAGGCCTGCCAGTGAAAGGAAAATATTATGGGCGTTTAGAACCATGTGGTCGGGATCTACGTGGAAATTCGAAGAAGTGGGTTTTGTAACCAGACTTGTGGTCTTGTTTATATCCGCTAAACTTGTTTGTGCATCACATATGCAACAGCTAGCATGAAACCCTGATCGCAAGAAAGGTAGAAGACCGAGTAGGCAGGGATTCAACGAAAGAGCACTTCGTCTCTACCATCAGATACTTTTGAGTGATGAAGCTGGGGCATAGGCCTCTTTTCTGGAATGGGACAAAACCAGCGACCGTAGCAGTCCCGGACAGGAATCGGGCTTTAACCTTAAACCACAGGTTGTCTGGCTACAAGGTAAAAATTCACTTTCGGGTGTAAAAAGTAGAAAACCCGAAAAGGATGGTAACAACTGTTTTCTTTCATAAAAAAACTAAGCCCATTTAGACAGTATGGGAGTAACTTGAAATATACTGAAGAGAGCTTGACAAGGAACGTACTTGCGCTTGACCGGAAAATAACTGCAATGAAAGAATGCGCATGCACACCAATCTGCTTATGCTAGACATCCATAACTAATTGATATGCATCTGGTGCATAGCTAAAATGCCAAGAATAATATGCAAATAGGATTGCAAATAGATCGATAAACCCGCACTGAGTAATTTGCTTTATTGCATATGAGGTACAAGGTGAGTTAGAAATTATTACATTTGCACTTACATTTTGTTAACAGAAATTCAAAAGCGTTTTTGAAATACAACAGTACTTTTCAATATTCATCGCCAATCTGCGAACATATTGTCCTATGGCTTAACTCCACTGAATATGCATGCACATATTCTGAGTTAGTTGCCAGAATTCACCACAGACCACACTTCCTCGCCGACCGTTTTGACGCTGGTTGACTATTTCCGGGTCAACGAGTGAGGAGTGATTCCACTCCACTCTGTGCCGGTCGCAGTCCGCGTATTGTCGACGTTAACGCTGCTTTCGACAAGTAAGCACGCACCTACCCCGACAATCAGCCAAATGTTACTTGAAAAGGTTCAAAAGCCTCTGTTCACCCCGTGTTCTGGGTTACTCCGGTATCCTGCGTGCAAACATCGTTCGAAACCCAAGTTTGGCGTAGGTTGATCCATGGCTGGTTTGCAAAAGAGCAGCTGCACAATATTCCTTCATAGCTGCTAGTTGTTATGTGGTCTTTCTCCAACGGCTCAACCCACCCATGCGAACTGTTGGCTGCAAAGGATTTTGTCCGCGGCGTGTTCACCACGTGGGATGAATTATCGGCACTAGCCACTCCCCTGGAACAGAAATTGTCGCATCACGAAACCCTGAGGTGCACGTGTGCAGACCGCAAGTGAAGCAGGCATGTAAGGCGGAAGATGCCACAGCCAAGCCATTGACCTCATCTCCGTCTATCTCTCTCTCCCTCTCTGGCGTCTAGACTTGTCGGATTACACATTCCATGTCAGCTGTGGCATTGCCCCATCAGCGAGCGGTTGTTGGTGGAGACGGAGTCCCCTTACCTAGTGCCCATCTCGCTACCAAACAGGTCATTTGACATCGCTGTCCCGATTCACCGTTTAATTGCCACCCCTAATGTGCTCGGCCTCCATGGTCAAACGAGTCGCCTTCACGAGGAACTAAAGTCGATTTAGCTTTTGCATGATCACATGCAGCAGAACTAACGGAAGCATCAATTGTACTGAGAAATTCTTCTAAACACTGCCCAATTGAAGTCGACAGCATTCCTTTTTTCTCAAGTACGCTCTAATTTGAGGCCCACAGAACACCCTGGTAGTAGCCAAGTGATGGAAGCATCGTTGCGGCGTCGCTGGACGCTGAGTGTGCTTGCGGCATTTGAAAGCTGCTCGACTAAGTTGCAGCCGAGCAGCTCACGAAGGCGGATGACATCCTCGCCAAACGCGGCGTCAATTGGAAGCGTGTTGTCCTCAAACCGACTTGCGTGGCACGACCCAGTCCCCCAATACCACTTGACGATTCTTTCTTTTCTTGTCGAACTTGGGATGAATGCTCAAAGCATCGTATCAAATCAAATCACTCATTTAGAATTTTCGAGAAACACTTTACATTTCCGCTCTAACTCCATCATTGAATGTGTGTTTTGTAAAGTCATGTTCCTGGGACGTTACTTCCCTCAAAGCTAACTTGGGACCTGTTTGGATGTCTCGAATAAGTGTCTGACAAACGTCTTGTTTCGGAAAAAGGGGTATCAGGCGACGATGAATTATGGTTCACATTTGGATGTCAGGTTGTGTTGACTTGTAACTCAATTAGGTGTTAGTCAAAGGCGTGTGTGTGAAGCTGCTATCAGACCGATTCCGATCTGAAAAATTTATATGCGCCAAGTTATTTGATCCCATGATTACACGATAAAAATTTCTATGATGTAACTTCTCTCTGGAATAAGTGGAGGTTTTTGTGGTTGAGGTCAATGAACGCTAATAAATACATGTTTGTGTGTAGAAGGAAGTGACGATCGTGCTCAGGATGCGCACCAGCTCCTTATCTACCGGGATGAAGCGCTTTCTCACGGCAACACCTTTCGGAGTCCGTTCGACCCACGTTCAGAGGATGATTTACTCTCTTCCACCAACGATGGCGTCGTTCTTGACCTTACATTTGACCCGAACACGCGGCGCCTACATGAAGGGATGGGGCGCATTCATGCAGATGACCAACCGTGGATTGGCGGATCAATTGACCGCGCTGGTTCAAGCAATGAAAGTGAAAGGCATAAAAAGGGGCGCCGTGATCAACAAGGCAAGTTAACCTTTACTTTCCAGTAACATTGGTCGCTGTTGCTAGTCTTACATCGCATAAAAATATTTACGAGACTAAAAAGTTTAAGAATGTGATATTTAGGACTCGCGGATTTGCTGAATCCTTGATTGGTTTTCACCAACCCAGCTTACAAAGTTTCCAATGTCTTTGATCTCTTAATAAACAGTTATTTTCAGCAGTGGAGCAAGCAAAATATCGATGTAGTTATCATCAACTAATTACAGCGCATTTTTGGCGCAGTTTTAATCAAATCTTATTTCGCTGACGAGTTGCATGCATGCCTGGCCCGACAAAGGAAGACACCTTTTGGCATTATGCATAGTTCGAAGCCATTGCAGCAAATTGAATTTAGCAGTGATGTGGATTAACATCACAAGCATACTCTGGCTTGTGTAAATTGTGGATTTTATGGAAAACAAACAGCTCCTGATATCTGTGACAATTATGCTCGACTTTTTTTAAGTAAAGCCCACAGACAAAGTGCATACTCAGACTCTTTTCAGATTGAGGGTTGGATTTTCGGCTGTGTAATGGCGATTAAGTTAGTATGTGAGAATTTTTATTTGTGAACGAATTTCGAGCAAAAAGGAATAAAATCTTTCACTTTTCCGAATTTAATAACCGATGTTATTTTGTCACGCAACGTGAAGCAGTTTCCCCTATTTTCGCCTTGGCAAATAATTCTACCAAACAGTGGCCTCAGATTCAAGGTCAGGCTTCCCATTGGAATGCACACAGACACTCAGCTGTCTCTGGTACACTTGCACCCCTTGTGAGGTGATATTCGCAAACATGAGTTACTGCTGTCGGATTTTTGTAAACGCTTTACTCCTAGTCTCAACCGGCGATCATGTGACCAGACGAGAGCTCATATCGATTAGCCAATACAGAATTCTGATTGGTGGTTGTCGCAGCATGCACGCGGAGGCGCTGTCAGCGCACCCTCTTCGTGCACCGCCGTTGATGTCTTGCTGCGTACGCGTTGGCACCGCTCTTGTGCCTCTCGGTGTGGGGCCTGTTCGGTTGAACGTTGTTTAATTTGCCGGTTAACTGGGTTGATGTGGAGGTGCAGGGTCTCTCCAGTAACTTGGCCGCTTGGTATATTTATGACAGTATGCTCACGCAAATTAGCAACATGGAATTTGGGGTCGTTTGTCTTCGCCGTTTCGTCTATAGTGTTTTGACTGGTGTCATGCGCTTTTCGAAGTGCTACCAACATAAAGTTGTGGTCCTTGTACAATATTTACCTGAGGGTTCTATTGTGCATGTGTTTGATTCGGTTTTGTTTGCGACATCCGGCTATCATTGACGTAAGCATGCGTGCGAGAAACTGCGAAGTGGCCCGTCTGTCAAAGAGTATCGAGTGCCCTGGTAGTTGTGTCGGTTTGTTGATGCTATCTACCACAGTCTACATTTCTTGACGAGCGGTTTCAAGTAACCCCTCTTGGAGCATTTATGTAGTACCCCTTTTCAATCTCAAGTTCATTTCTTCACTAATATACTCTTAAGAGACCACTGATTGAACTGTATTGGAGTATTCAGGCGACATCTTTGAAAGAATCCATGCCTGTGACTGGTCCTCGTTCCCTGGATTGTTGGTGTTGCGTGCTTTCGTTATTATTTGGCAATTAGGGAAATGGCACTGAAGGCAACTCTAATGCTGTCTATCTGGTTCTATCAGGAATTGAGTTGTGGTGGCCCTTGACGATATACGTCCATCATCTCTGTCGCCGCACACTCAGACCCACCGTTTCCTTTTCACAGAGCCCGCATCGGTCATACGAACAAGCCTGATCATTCCAGCCTGCGCACATACCACCCTTGCCACTCATCTGGCTATTGAGCTGCTTGTACCTTTACCAGTTCACCCAAATTTGATTGACCAACAACTTCGCTAGTAGCCCGACACACACACAACTAAGTTGGACTATCTAGCAAATGGCCGTATCCCGTCACTTCCGGTCTTCTTAGTCTTTCCGGGCATCTACACACATTAATATCGTCGATACGGAGTAGCAACTCCGGCGTGATTCAAGACCGCATGCCGGGCCTTCAGCCGAGTCTTACTTTTAACGTCACGACGGCTTGTCACCTCGGCCATTGAAACATAACTTGAGGGGATGAAAAGAAGGCCGGGACAATAGTTTACTTGTCTCATAGTGCCTACGATGAATGTTTGGTTTCTTAACGCACATCCTGTGCGAGAATTCAGGGCTAGATATATGAAGGAAACCCAGTCGAAAGTATCATGACTGTGCCCTCCGCACCTCTTCATTTTGAGCAACTCCAAGAATCGGACGTGAGAGTATGGACGTCATTGGTGGTTCTTGTGAAATAATATTATGCTACTTTGAACCCATACCTGAAGTGCTCATCCTGGTAGTGACGGAATGAGTATGAGTATAACTGAGTTGCCAGAAGGGCACTACATTGGGTTGACTTTCTACCTGGCGTATCATTTAGCCCCATTTATTGGCGAGTGTCCGGCCCAACTGTCGCAATCAGTGTGACTTCTAGTTTTGGGTGGTAGCTTCTATTCTGTGCGGTGGTTAGATCATCTCCGATCACCACCCGCTACGCTGGTTCCGTCAAAACCTACCGACCCGGTCTACCTGAACACCGCTTTACCTCATGCACTACTTTTACTTTTCTAGGGACAGGTGGCCCCGATTCTCACTCTCCTGGACCCCGCCCCGCGCCGCGTCGTCCACACACAAAAGTCGAAAGCCCCATTGGAGAGGCGCTTACCGCAGGTGGTGAAGGCAGCTGTTTCGAAGATGAGGAGGAGGACGACAGCTGGGCGGATGATGAAAGTCGGCTTCGTCCTCCGGCACTTCGAAGAAATCTACAAGCTGCTCTCGCGGAATTGCCAGGTAAGTGTTTGTATTCGGTCTACATCGGTTCTACTTATTTGTTCCGATTTCCAGTCTGCCTGTCCAAGTCCAGACGACGGCAATGAGACATAGGGGTAAACATGACAGCTTATTCACCCGTTAGGTGTGGTGCCTGGGTGTGATACGAATGCGGGTGCGTCGTCAAGGTTTTTTGTGTGCACACTGCGACTTAGGAGGCTGTTTAAACCAATGAAAGAGTAAAAATGGACGCGACGTTATGCGTCATCTCCCGGATAAACTGTTTCAACAAGCTTCAACAGGTACGCTTCGGCCATCAAGCCACTAGTCTTGCGCCAATCAAGGCGGTAACGGACTTGACGTACTTGAATCGCAATCACTTTGATTAGGAGCAAGAGTAATTACGAAGACTAATATTAGGAATTTCTCAGAGAAGTGAGTACTTCAAAATATTTCCACAAAATAGTGCCTGTCAAAGTAAGAATGCAGGCCGAAATTAATAACGTAACGTTGGGCCTTAAAACGCAATCTCAGGCTTTTCACAATGAGGTCTGACAGATTAGGCTTCCTTTTAACATTTTCGAATTTTTTAAGCGTACTTAACCCCCCTAAATACTGTTTACAAGTTTCATTTTTTTGCCCAGTTCTCGAAAGACAAAAGGACTGTTCTATGGTTGCCGGGTTTTTAAATGGTTTTATTGTCCAGTGAAATGACGATAACTTATTAACATTATTATTGGTATTATTCCAGAATTTCATAAATTTACCGAATTTTCCTTCGCTTTAGTTGAAGATCCTGTATCACGAACTAAGCGCCTTCGATCGCTACAATATCCAATCTATGTGAATGTAGGCGGAGATCCTAAGGGTATCAACAGCGATGATTTTGATCGGACCAAATCCTACGGTCAAGTCAAGCCCCTAAAAACCATGGATCAAAATATTCCTGACAAGGGTATGTCCGACCTTCAAGACTTTAATCCACAGAGCGGTCTGGTAAAACATTTTTTGACCACCTTTTTCCAGAACTGCCGGACAGCCTCGTGGTGCGAACGAGACGTCGCACAATGAGTGGCATAACTGGTTTTCTTCCTCGGAGCACAACCCTATCCTCCAGTTCTGTCTGGTTCGGCGACCATCCCGTGCCTACGAAGACGCAGATGCTCGCTGCAGAACAGTCGCCCCTGCGGCTCTCCAGCATCCAACTCCAGGCCCAGGCCGAACTCGCCCGACGCCGCTCTCGCAACAACCTGGCCACGAGGAGTGCTGGCGGCCTGTCGCGAAGCCGCAGCCTCGACCGCTCGCTCGTCGTGGCGCCATCGGCGTCAACACTGTACGGCCCAACGGGTCGCAGGGTGCACGGAGGGGCGCCTCTGGTCGAGCGAGCCATCAAACGCCACGTCAGCAAGCGAGATGGCTATGAGACACTTTCGTTGATCCACGTACCGAAAATTGACAAGCCCTCGAATGAAAACGGAAATCGGCAGAGACCTGCGTCATCAGCATCGACTGCAAAATATCGAGCTCCCGCAGCAATGAAACGCAGTGAGTATTTTTTTCTAAAGTTGAATAACTTTAATCCTGAGTAGCTGGACAGGTCGGTTATTTATCAGCTCAACGCGGCCTCAATTATCGGGGTCATTCTTGAACGAAATGAGCTTGTCGACGTCACTAAAGCATCATCATTTGTTATGAGGTCACGGAACAGTAGATCTATCTGTTTATTTCTGTGTTTGTCATTTTCAAACACCTGCCGACTTTATTCAGTTTAACTCAGCTTTACTAAAAAAAACCTGGCATTTTTGCAAATGCGGTCATCCTCTTAGGGTCAAATTTAGAGCGGATAAAATTCCTAAAAGGTCGCTCACTGCAGCAGACCAAGTGACCTCAGTGACCAATATTTGCAAGTAATGATGGAAGGCCAGTTTTGTGGAACTAGTGTTTTGTCTCCATGTGCGTGACAGATTTTTGCAAATGGCGATTGTTAACTGCTATTGGGTAGCACTTTTATCGGTAAAACAAAAGCATAAAAGTACATGAAACCGTACTTGTAACAACAATTGGTCTCAAAATACGCTTTGTATGAATAAATTCAAATTTTCGCACAAATACAACTCCTGACAGCCGATTAGTATTTGCTTAGGTTTGGATGTCGAGGTGAAGAAAAGTTCCACCAAACAGGTGTTAGTGTACTATGCACGCCGACGTCTGCTCCGTATGTTTATACAGAATTTGAAACCTATCCCCCAGAAAGTATTTGCGGTGAAATGTCAGCACGATTTTGTGGTTTCTTGATACTTTTTGAATCCACATCTTCATTTCCCACTGGAACGTTTTTCGTCATTAAATTTGAAATTGTCTTATTTTTACCGAATATCACATGAATGCTATCATCTCCCCTTCCAACACCCAATTCCGATTTGAGGACTCCTCTTTATTTCTTAGATAGAAATGTTCCATCAACAATACCCACTTGCCACTTACACTTTCCCACTATTAAACAGGGTAAGTGGTGGTGTTTCGTACAAAAGTGTTTTATTTTGCACATTAATTTTGGTGATTTAGCTAACTAAACATGGAACCACGGGGATGTGCCTTTGCTACGCTTGGTTGTCAGTGTTTAACAAATATATGCCTACTCTGCGAATCTAAATTTTCTTGGCGGTCAGATCTTGCACTCGAGTTTTCAGACTACTTAATCGGCCTTAATTACACCCCCATTGACAGCTGAGTTTCGAAATGAAAATCGGATCTGAGAATGGAATTTTGGTAGAAGCCCAGGGACATACGAAGTAATATAGGCTAAACGAGGACGCACTTTATCAATCACAACGCCACATACAGCCTTACTTAATTACCAGCGTAGAACAGTTTGTGGTAGTCTGCCCGTTATTCTTACCATACAACATGCTAGGTATTCGACACTTCGTCGGTGCAATTAGCAAATGCGTTCTGATTTTAAGATAAAGAGGATTTTCGGTGGCAGGAGTCACCGTTTAAGAGCACGTGAGGACTGACACCCCTTTTAAAAACAAGCAATCTGCATCAAAATCTTGGTGAAATTAGACTCTAAGTTTGGTTATGTGTAACAGAAATTACAGAAAACAGGTGTTTTCGATCTTCAATTTTCTGGGTTTTTTGGTAAATGCTTCCGACGAAATTTATCGCAAATCGACAAGATTAAATTTTATTTTAATATAACGAAATGCAGTATTGTGCAAATCCATATTTAGGATATAGACATCGTTTTGTGGTCACTTGTTCAAGTTGTGAAAATCTGTGATTAAGTGAGCACCTTATCGAAGTTGCATCCCAAGACCGCTAAATGTTGTTTGGTTTCAGGAATTGATGTTGCTCGCGATTGCTGGCGTCACTGTTGTGCCGGGTAAGAGCAGGGTTTAAACCCGTGAAGCCACAACAAACCGCATGTCGCGCGAATTCGAGCATTCACGCTGCCTCTGACCGCAGTAATTGATGAGTCACTTGTTCGCTAGGGTGATTGAGTAGAGTCAGCATACACCACATTTTAAACCCTGCAATTGTAAGTTATGTGAATGCTTTGATCCAAGTACGAGATGCAATCTCCCTTCCAGTGAGTCTTGGTAGCCACTGATTCAGCCGTTGCCGCACAGGCTTGGGTTTCCACCGAACTAACCTGTAAAATGCGCACACCCGTATTTGATAACATCAACTATATGCGAAAAGGACTTGCATTGTAGTATATGGGGAGGTAGCTTAACTGCTCTCTAAATTGCACAACATGCATACTTACGCGCACTGACATTAAGAATACGTCTCCTTGATTTCATATTCTCACCTTTGCAAGCCATTTCGAAGTTAACTCATTAACTTCAAACGCAAGTGGGCGGTTGTTTTACGCGACCCAAGCAATGAACAATATTGCTAGTAAAAACATGTTTCATGCATCCTTTTGCCATCTTTCCATTCAGTAGACAGACTAAAATTCTTTCGAATCGCTCACGTTTTATTTGTGGTAGTATCTTCGAACCAATAAAAGTTATGACAAGCTAAAATGTCATTGTGCAGATATCTGTTTTTGTAAATGGCGCATGATGTGAAAACAGCTTGCCTTTGAACTTTCCCCCACGTGTGCTGATTGATAGTTCTTATGATCACGGGTTGTTGCTAATTTCTTGTTTTTCCCCGATTTAAGTGTAACTGCTTTTCGATAGCCGTAGTGGCGCTGTGCTTTCGATGAAGGAGAGTATTGCCATAGGCTTTCTTATAAATCTAGCTTTTGTAAATTCCGTATCATCTCAATACGTGAATCTTGAATCTCAAGTATGAGTGGTGTAAGTAATCACCAAAGGGTAATTCTTCTGCATTGATTTGTGTGGTTTCGATAGACAAAGTTGAGCTCTGTCCGGAATCGCAGATTTCTTCTCAGATCCTCATTATGTCTGTTGTACATCCCATTGTTTTTCCGAGCGCCTACCTTTACACTCAAATCTCATCACCCCAAGTTAATTAGTCTTACAGGGGAAGCCCTAGACGAAATATACCAGGTTGAGTTTTCTCGCTTTAACCTATTTGGGCAAGACTGAGCGTCTTGGTAACCGTTTATTTATACTAATCTATTCTATTTGGCTCAACTTGGGTGATGTCGTAACTAATTTTCGACCTCGCTATTTTTAATCGTTTTGTTTGCTACTAAGCCTTCTCAGGACCCAAACATCAGCCCAGAACACCTGCAGGACACTTCACTAATGCAACCAATGGCATTCCTTTTTAGTTTTCTAAATTAACTTATTTGTATGAGGACTCCATTGTCGCTGACCTTACCTCGACTGTGCTACCACGGCACCAATCGATTAGTAAATGCTGCCACGTGGAAGTGGTTTCTTCCGAAGAGCAGTGAAAAGCCTCTGACTTCCCACGTCAACTTGTTATTGTTTTTTTTTTTCATTTCAGATCGTCTGGAAGCGCGGTCGTTGGTAGCCCAAGCAGCCGTTGATCTGGCCATGCACACCTTCGATCCCTTTGAGGTGTAGCGGCACCATCCTTCCAGCCCACTGGTGTTTACACTCAAGATAATGTAGATTTTTATTTTAAGGATGTTTTGTTCTCTCAATGACCTTAATTACCATTAGGCTTTGATTCATTTTAGTTCCTCAGTAAACGGTGAAATGATCTCAAAGATGATATTATTTAAAACAAATATGTTCCCTCTGGTCTGTACTAATAAAGCTGTGATGGCAAACGTTGTCTCTCGTTTTCAAGATTCAAATACAAGAAAAGCACTTTATCAAGCGGTCATTAGTTCATCTGCCTATAAGCAGCAACAAAACAAGGTTAGAGATGAAAGGCACCGAGCCAAGAAAATGCCCGACTTGCGCTCTTCGTTAAATAAAGTTTTGTATTTCACATTAAAACTAGTTTTATTTGGCGATTCTGAATGGAGTTTGTGGGCAATGCTTCGAACCTGCACATAAAGACATGAAGCTTATGTTGAACCAGGTTAATAAACTGCTGTTCTACTGTGGTCACTCATTTTCATTCGACAAATCGAGTCGGTAACTTGTAACTTCCATTATTGCAAAGTGTTTAGAATCTCACTTTTCAAAAGCCGTCAATTTCACACATTTTATAGTGCAGTGTTGCAGACTGCCTATTTTGCGACAAATGTAACCATCTTTCGCACATAGTCAAGCTCAAAACACTTTTAAATTGTTTTAAGTTGGGAATTTGATATTTGTGGAATCAACTGATGTCGTTGACAAAAGCCTCAAGTCTTAGCACTGCCTGAGTTTGCTTTGATAGAACTGCCTAACAACCCTAGAGAGGGATCACAGTTATGACATACAAACATATCCATCCCGATGTTCGTGCTGAAATTAACCACGGTTTAATGTCCAAAAGTAGTAATTGAAAAAAAAGTATATACATTCGTTGAGTGAAGCCGCGTTTATAGTCTCTAACGTCGCATACATTTCCACCTGCTTACCGATGCTTTACTTCGCTTATGGCCTTTTGTCTTGGATGATTTTGGGTGATGTTGCATACGCAATTATGTCTTTAACGCCTAACAGTCCAACTTACAGGAACCTTATCAACCGAATTATAGCATGACCTCTAAATCTAATTTTTGAATTTCTGACACTAAAAACGTAGAATATAAGGACCTAAGGATAAGCTCCGACTCTCTGTTTCGGTTCATGTACAGCCTGTGAATTTCAAGCAGACGGGATACATACGACGATCAGAATACAGTGGTGGTGAAGACCCGTTGAGCAAGCGCACAAATTCACGGTGATCAGGACGACCTAAAAACCATTAATTGACATTTAAAAGAAGTAAACGTCACTTATTCACGATACCTAAGTGACTACGCACCACCGAAATGCAAAATGACAAAGGATGTGAAGTTCATGTCCTAAAATTTAAGGTCATCAGATTTTGGCTACAAAAACCATTGAAGCACAGTCAAAATTTTGGCATAATTCATTAATTAGCTGCAAAAAAGTCTGGCTAATTACTCAGAGCCGTGGTATTAAATTAAATATTTTGCCTAAGCGCACTGAGTTCACACCTGCAATTACCACATTAAAATTGTTGAAAGGAAATTAGCTTAATTTGTAAGCTAGCACAGTTGGAGAACTCGCTTTTCGCATCGTCAATTCTAGCGGTAATTTAAAAGACAAATCGTACTTCCCTCAAGGTAAGGAAGCAAATTCAAGAATTTGTCAGGAGTGGCCGTTCTTGTACAAGAATACACATGAATTTTAAAGTAGAGAACGTCGTAGATATTTTGAAGTAGCCCCATGATTTTAAATCGTATTAATCCTATAGACAACAGTTAGAATGCCATTACTGTTTACGAAGGAGTAGATATTATCGTCAGCTTCAAACAAAACGAATTACAACCATTTGAAATTTCAGATATCTTTAAAGACTATCTTCAATTTCCAAAATGCACCATATTTTAAGGTTTTTCAGACCTGTATGTTACCCTATAACTTTTCTTGTCAACTTCTTGTAACACCCAAGAACTTAGAAAAGGCAAGTTGCGGCTGATGTGAATGTTTATTTGGAGTACTGACTAGAAGTGTGCGTGGGCACAACGAACTTATTAGGGAGGCCAGTAAAAAGACAGACTATACATCGTAATATGTAGCCAAAAATTGGTTTATTCTGACTGCTCTAAATCAAATACCTCAAATGGCAATTTACCATAAATGTGTAAGAAATATTTCAAATTTGCCAAGTTGAACGTATCCTAAAGCCACTCTAGAATATTACAGAAATTTTTTATTTAAATACTTTTGATGAAATTTGTAAGTGTTTGAGTCTCTGTACACAAAGAAAAAGGACGAAATAAGCATTTATAGTTGCGCATTAATTTCCACAAAATTTTCCTATGTCCTCGACTTGAGCATCAGCAATAGATGGGTAAAATGGACACCCGCGACCTCAGTACTCTTACTACACCAGCAAATAAATCAATATATAATAATAACAAACCATTGCTTGAACAACCTCTTGTGATTAGCAAAAATAAGTTCTGCTTTGTTGCAATAATTGATTTTAATGAGATTCATTTCAATATTTGACTTACTACCGCGGATATTTTATTTAGTGGCCGTAATGTTTTAAATGAAATGTTTCTAAAACATATTATACTAATTGCATTCACAATATCGTAAAGGTACGTCCAGACGTTCTTGTTTTATATTTCCATTATGCGCATTTCAAGGTTGCTGGGTTTTTTGCTTCCACGAATAGTAAATCCGTGGTGTGAAATTGGAACTGTTTCGTAATTTTAGTTCTGGGGTTTTGTAAGTTTTGGAGGGTAAGTCGTGAGACTTAGTGCCTGCATTGTTATCGGTTGGTTCTGGTGGTACTCTTGCTTTTGATTCTCTTAGTTTTGCAGCAGTTTGCTGTTTTAATCCGAAATGTAATACTCAAGTTGTTTTCGTATGCGTCGTCAGTGTTTTGACGCTACTACAACAACACGCACGAATTCTGCTGGTAAAATTTCATTTTACCTTCGTTTACAATTTGTGAGTAGTGCCATAAGTCGTTCGCACAGTAGGACCTCGTTCACCTCCAATTTCACCTCACTTTCAT